TTTAAAGGTAAGATAAGAACAGAACGTTCGTTTCGTTAACAATATTTTCTGTTTTTTAAAGTTAACGTTAGTTAACGATCTCAATTTTATTAACGGTGTTAACGGGAGAAAATCCGCAGTTAACGGTTGTTTTTTGCAATTAACGTCATTTACTGATCAGAATTTGCATTAAGCGCAAACAAATTTTTTTTGGATTGTTAATGGTTGTTTGTAGTATTAACGGCGTGAACAGTTTGCCAAACTCAAAAATTTCAATAAAGAATTGGATTTACGGCACAAGCCATCACCAAGTTGCAAAAAAACTTTAATCATATTAATAGGCAGGGTGGGGGGGGAGCAAAGACAACATTTTAAAAAAATTGTCGTAAATTTCATGCAATTTTGCAGGAAAAAAAGAACGAAAATTGCCGTTTTTTAAAAACCCATCTGTTTCGTTTTTCAACTGTTAATTTTTTCTTCAAAAACGGCTGAATCGATCTGTTAACGATTTTAAAATTTAAAAACGAATTTTGCTGTTCATTAACGGACTTTTCCGTTCATTTTCGAAAACCTCCGTTTCGTTAAAGCCCTAGTTACAGCTAGATGTTGTTATTTATGTTTTTCGATTATATTTAAGATTGCTTCATGCATGGAGGCCTTCTAATTATAAACTTCTAATTTATGTATGACAGGGGCGAATACAAGCTCCCCCCCCCCGTTTTTATACAATTTTGTTTCCTTGTTCACAAGAAATTAGAATGCGAAGATGTAAAGAGAGGAAGAGAAAACGAATATATTATCAGAAGATACAACTGTCAGAGAATAAATCCACTGGTCTAATTCAAAAATAAATGTTAAGAAAATACAATAAAATATCATTATATAAAATAAATTTTTACATAAATAACAGATTACAGATAAAGTGAAAACATCATTATAAAAATAGTAAGTGAACTTACATAGTCGGTGTCCTATCCAAATATACTTTGCTTGTCTGTTTGTTTGTATCCAATAAACGTCAGAACGGTTGACCCGATTGGGTCCAAATTTTTCGTGGGACCTCAAGTGACCCCAGGGAAAGTTTATGGAAGATCGAATTTTTAAAAATTTGCTTTTAACAAAATTCAATTTTTGAAAATTTTAAAAAACCACATTTTTTTTTTATAAAGTCTGTGAAATTTTTTTTCTTTTTGGTTTACAATGAATACAAAGAGAGCCTGTTCACAATTGAAATAGAAGATGCCTAAAAGCCTGGTATATATAAAGATACAACAATACTGAGATTGGCTCAATTTGTACAGTAATAACCTGCAATATTTTATAGCGCTTTAAAGTCTGGTTGACACTATGGTAAATTTATTTTTCCCTTGAAAAGTCTACACTTAGAACATTCCGTAGTTCTATCGAGTTCCCCAAACAAGATTTGAGGCAAATTGGTCAACGGGTTTCTGAGTTATGATCAGACAACCAAACACATTAAAACAACATGAATTACCATTTTCTGAATTTTTGCAAGCAAATTTTTTGAAGAAGTGGTCTCTCTTTTGTTAATATTTTAATATTTTTATTCCTAAGAAACCCATTTTTTACATTTTGGAATGTTTTAGTGATAATAAGTAAGCAGTTGTAGCCTTTCAACAACGTTTTTAAATGATCTCTTCTTTCCTTTAAATCGCATTTTCTATGTTTTTTTTTTTAACTCCCTTGGCAGTTTTTTTCTTATTCTATTCTGAGGGATGTTGTAGTGTCATGAATTCATTCAACTTCATTGTTCTCTGCTAAAAATAATTAGTTTTTTAATGGTTCTGATGAGAATTGAAACACACCGAATTATTCTATTAATAAGATCTCTTTTTAGTTGGCAGTAAAGTATAATGAAGTACAGTATTATTAAGGGCACATTTAAAATTAGAACTTATATCGAGGAATGTTTTAATCTCATCCCTATTACATGTACTAAATTTATTGCCGATGAAAAGATTAATTTTTTTTACTTATCAATGAATTTAGGACTTTAAACTAAAAAGATAGGTTTCTGGCGACTACCCTTTATTATAAATTTATGATTGAATGGTGTAAACATCATTTAAAAACCAAATTTTATTCAAATTTAAAGTCAAAGAATTCCTCTCATTGTGATCTTGCCAGGCTCCATTTGTTGCACTCTGATTGGTTGCATTTTACACACTTTCCTGGATATTGATGTAAGATTAAATTAATCTTAAGATTAAAAAAAGAGGAGATCAAGCAATGATATCGATATCCATATTTCTAAAGCTTTCAGCTCAGGCCGGTGTTTGTGGATGTTTGGAGTACAGAAGGAAGAATGTTGGTCTGCTGCAGGGGCCATAACTTTGGTAGGATTAGTACATAGAGTAATAAAACGAAGAGGTGAAGCTTAGATCAGATGTACACAACCTCCCTATTAATTAATTAATAGAGTGGTCGGTTGTATACATCACGATATGTTTACGTATCTAACACTGTCTACTTGTACATAGAGTGATCGTATTTCTAAGGGGGATTTTTTGTAATTGACCAATTTTAGATTTTCTTTCTTTATTTTAAGAGAATTCGATGATGCAGGATTAGTAGGAGATATAGAATTCTAAACGTTTCTTTATACGGGCATTGTTTAGATATTTCAATGAGAATAGTATCTAATTTTAATAGTTTAATATATTTTAGAGCAAGTTAAATGTTTAACAATAGAGCAAAACGTTTCTCTGGATCACTTGTCTTTCAAAACTAAATTCTGAAGAAATATTTTTTTAAACTTTGCATTATTTTTACCCTCAGAGTTTGTTTTGCTACATTTTTTTTGCATGTATTTTCTCTCAGGTAAAATTTGGCGTAGTGCAAATGCATATTTAGAATAAACAATCTTGAAAGTATAAACTTCTCAGATTGGTGTGGAACTATAAGCAGAACCTTTAAAGTGTCCAAAAACCATTAGAAACGAACCAATGAGAGTGAAAAATATTGCAGTTTATCATTTATCAGAAGAATAAGATAAATCAGATCCAAGAGAGCTGAGAGAATTTTTGCTTGAAAGTTTGATATATAGAGTCTAATGTATTTACAATATCTGCTGGTCTCAGCACTTCCGAACCAGACCAATACTAAACATGTTCTTATACCAGACCAATCCATTCTCTTATACCAGACCTATCCATCCTCTTATACCAGACCTATCCATTGTCTTATACCAGACCTGTCAATCCTCTTATACCAGACCTATCCATTGTCTTATACCAGACCTATCCATACTCTTATACCAGACCTATCCATCCTCTTATACCAGACCTATCCATACTCTTATACCAGACCTATCCATCCTCTTATACTAGACCTATCCATCCTCTTATACCAGATCTATCCATCCTCTTATACCAGACCTATCCATCCTCTTATACCAGACCTATCCATCCTCTTATACCAGACCTATCCATCCTCTTATACTAAATCTATCCATCCTCTTATACCAGACCTATCCATCCTCTTATACCAGAACTATCCATCCTCTTATACCAGACCTATCCATTCCAGACCAATCCATTCTCTTATACCAGACCTGTCCATCTTCTTATACCAGACCTATCCATCCTCTTATACCAGACCTATCTATCCTCTTATAGCAGATCTATCCATCCTCTTATACCAGACCTATCCATCCTCTTATTCCAGACCTATCCATCCTCTTATACCAGACCTATCCATCCTCTTATACCAGACCTTTCCATCCTCTTATACCAGACCTATCCATCCTCTTATACCAGACCTATCCATCCTCTTATACCAGATCTTTCCATTCTCTTATACCAGACCTATCTGTTCTCTTATACCAGACCTATCCATACCAGACCAATCCATTCTCTTATACCAGACCTATCCATCCTCTTATATCAGACCTATCTATTCTCTTATACCAGAACTATCCATCCTCTTATACCAGACCTATCCATCCTCTTATACCAGACCTATTTATCCTCTTATACCAGACCTATCCATCCTCTTATACTAGACCTATCCATACCAGACCAATCCATCCTCTTATATCAGACCTATCCATCACCTTATACCAGACCTATCCATCCTCTTATACCAGACATATCCATCACCTTATACCAGACCTATCCATATTCTTATACCAGACCTATCCATCCTCTTATATCAGACCTATCCATCCTCTTATACCAGACCTATCCATTCTCTTGTACCAGACCTTTACATCTTTTTATACCAGACCTATCCATCCTCTTATACCAGACATATCTATCACCTTATACCGGACCTATCCATCCTCTTATATCAGACCTATCTATTCTCTTATACCAGACCTATCCATCCTCTTATACCAGACCTATCCATCCTCTTATACCAGACCTATCCATCACCTTATACCAGACCTATCCATCCTCTTGTACCAGACCTATCCATGCTCTTTTATCAGAGCTATCTATTCTCTTATACCAGGCCTCGAATAGAAGACTGAATCAAACTTTAGGATCGCGAAGCGCCCAGAAAGTCTATTCTCCATTCTCTTGTAACAGAACTATGCATTCTCTTATACCAGACCTGTCCATTCTCTTGTACCAGAACTATGCATATTTTTATACAAGACCTATCCATCCTCTTATACCAGACCTCGAACAGAAGACTGAATCAAACTTTAGGATCGCGAAGCGCCCAGAAAGCCTAGTAATTAAATAATTATGACCACAAAATGTAAGTATTTTGCCGCAAAAATGTCAGAACCATCTTTTATGCGAACTATACAAACCTTTTTTTCCGCGGGATTTGCACAAATATTTTTCTTCTGGAAATCCTAAGTTTTTTAGATAAAAACATTTATTCAAATATATCTATCAAGACGTCTCTCTCAATACTCAGTAATGATAACATTATAATAAAATGAATAACTCAGTTTACTAGGATGACACTGAGATATTATATATAAATATTTCAATTTTAGATAATTCCATCCCCAAAAGGACTAAACTGTCGGATGCAACAGATATCACTCATTTTAAATGTAAGAGAGGTTCAAATATGTGTGTTTGGGGCCGTTATATACATTTAAATGTCATAAAAATAGAGAAATTGCTCATTCAAGAATGAATGAATGTAATAATGTGTGATACATTTGTATATTTTTCAATTTACGACTATGAGAATTTTTAAATATATATCTGAATAAATTATAAAACTTTTGAATTATTCAAATCGTTAAATTAATTCTTCAACATTATGAAAATAAAATTAATTGCTCATTCAAGAAATAGATGTACACTTGTGATACACTTGTATTTTTTTGTAATTTACGACTATGGGAATTTTTAAATATATACAAGTTATGAACTTTTAAATTGTTCAAATCTTATACATAAACAGAAACAGGCAATAAACTTGTAGCAAATATAGCCTGTGTACGTAGCGTTTTTGTAGGATAGCGTTTTTGAAGGGTAGCGTTTTTGTAGGGTAGCGTTTTTGTAAGTTAGCGTTTTTATAGTGTAGCGTTTTTATAGGGTAGCTTATTTATAGTATGACCCTAATTATTTTACTCAACATAACTTGGTCCTTTGCATACATAATTGAAAGTGATCATTCAAAATGCGAACAATTCTGAGTTCTTTATTAGTTCAAAAGTTGCAAAATCGGAACCTGTACACGGATTTACCGGTATAGTACAGTCGGAACCTGTACACGGATTTACCGGTATAGTACAGTCGGAACCTGTACACGGATTTACCGGTTTCATCTTGATCAGGTTCATCTGGAGCCTGGAGTAGGATAGGTTCAGTGCTCCACAGTATAAGTCTTCCCTGGCAAGGGGTCAGTTTTCTATTTTAAGAATTTTTGTTCCTATATTTAGATTTTTTCAGACCCGTAGCTAGGGGGGGGGGGGCACACTATCTCAGACAAAAAAAAAGAAAATTAAATGAAAACTAAAAATTAAAGAGAGAAGGAAAAAAAGACAAAAAATTGTATGAAATCTATGTTTTGAGTGAAGGATTATTTTTCCTTCAAAGTGAGTGCTTTCTTAAATATGTTAGTTGGGAAATATCATTTATATCCTGTCTTGTGAAATGATAGGGTTTAAATTTTTTTTGTATTTTGAGAAGCTTTTCTTAAATCTTTTTTTAATTAGATTAATGATTCTAATGAACCATCGTACAGCAAAAAGTAACATTTAGAAGCAAATTTAAATTTTTCTTTATTAAAAATATTGGCTATTCGTGATTTAAAATCTTTCAGAAATACATTTATTTATAGATTAACTCAAATCCAGTACATCTTATCCAGATTTTTTTGTTTTAACGCAAATATCTTCTCAAAACCATAATATTAGCAAAACAGGCAAAATATCTATCTTAATAAACTATAATTTGTGATAAGTAAAAAATCTATTTTTAAAGTCTTCAGTCATTATTTTTTTTCCTTTTTGAGTTATTTAGGTAAAAAAGAAATTTGCAGTTGCGTATGCTCTGCGTCCATATTGAAACCAGTTCTCTCTGGTCGGAATTTGTAAACGTGGGTTTGCTTAATATCCGAGGAGGTTAAAAGCATTAAATTTTGATAATTCACATAAAAGTTTCCTTTGACTAGAATATTTCATTGATTTTTTTTATGTGGAAGATGGATTTCATGTCTGGCTACGATATCAATTTTGTGTTTACATTACCGCCCAGAGACAATATACTGCAGTATAAAAGATGCGTACACCTCTGAAATAACTTTCCTTGCATTATAACCTTGATGTAGGGTGGCTGGCTGGTGCAGTATGTACTATACGAAGGATAAGACTTCAGAGACGACTATACACTACAGAATTTTAATCGTCTATTTCCATATATTTAGGATTCTCTGTATTATGCTCTGCGTCCATATTGAAACCAGTTCTCTCTGGTCGGAATTTGTAAACGTGGGTTTGCTTAATATCCGAGGAGGTTAAAAGCATTACATTTTGATAATTTTGATAATTCACATAAAAGTTTCCTTTGACTAGAATATTTCATTGATTTTTTTATGTGGAAGATGGATTTCATGTCTGGCTACGATATCAATTTTGTGTTTACATTACCGCCCAGAGACAATATACTGCAGTATACTTTCCTTGCATTATAACCTTGATGTAGGGTGGCTGGCTGGTGCAGTATGTACTATACGAATGATAAGACTTCAGAGACGACTATACACTACAGAATTTTAATCGTCTATTTCCATATATTTAGGATTCTCTGTAAATTAAAAATGGTTTCTTTTTGTTCCCATGTAAATAAATAGGCAGTTAAGAGACAATATTCAAGACGGAAGACTTAATTAATTTAACCTTGTGATTGTATTTTTTTTATTAAGTTCCAGGTCGTCTTTATAGTCTGATTGTTTAAGGGTAACCACCCTGTACCTTCTATACCATTGTTTTATAAGTAACATAGCATTATTCATTTGTTATGGAAAATTTATTTGATTTAGAATCATCATTATAAAAACTTTTTCAATTATTTATAAGTACATTGTGTAAACGGATTAGTTTATAAAATAAGATATTTACAATAATTTAAAATATGGACAGGTCACGCTATAATAATAAATACATCATATGACAGCAAGAAAATAACATACAAGTCGATATGAAATAAATTTTGACACAATTGGCACAAACAACATGTACCTTTCCAAATCTAAAACAAAAACAACAGTTTCATATCCAATATAAGATTTCCTTATCTGTTTCCATGTACCCTGAATCTATATAGACAGGTATAGTTTATGTTTCCATAGTTGGTTTTAATATCCAGCTCAATGTAGGGGAAGGATAGGTCGGATGGATGCTGTACAGGGAAGAACTGTAGCGGGGTTGAGTTGTCCAGGTAGGTATATTCACCCAGCTCTACAGGGTTCTCATCCTTCTCCCCCTGCAGACCGTAGACGATAAAATCACGTGGAGCACTATCAATCTTTCCTGACGGAGACATAGAGCTAGATATATGCTCCAGGGAGAACTGTGTTGGATGAATAGGTTCGGAGAGTTGAATTACAATATATCCGGAGGAACCTTTAAATGCCCAGCATTCTCCTGGTTGTACTCCAGGCTGGATAATAGTTCTAGGATTGTTAGACGGATACCAGATGGGAATACCAAACACACTGTACATAGCTGACTTCTGTACATAGGTCTCCGTACAACGAGTAGAGATAACACTACCCCCGGCAGTCTCCAGTGCAAAGTCGAATAGTCCTGTTTTATCAGCATCATATTGAATCAAAGCATTTTCAACAATAAGAGCTACCTCTCGTTCTCCTAGTCCTGTAGTTTTATTCAGTCCTTCTCTTCTCAACAGTTCCTCTAACCTAGACTCAAACTTTTCTTTCCCAATGCTGGTCTTTATTAGCTCCAACATTTCCTGACGAATAGATCCAACAGATTCCATAAGAGTAGATTCAAAATTTTCCAACTCAGGTTTCAGAACGTAATTCTTAGTTAGCTCAGGAGTAAGATTTGAAGAAAATGCTTCTGATATCATCCTTGAGATAGTTGCTTCAAGTTCTACTCTGCTCCGACAACAGGATTGGAGATCTATCCTTAGCCGAGATAATCCTCCTTCAATCTCATCTAACTTTGTGTTTAAATCAGCAATTCCAGTTTTCAAACCTAGAACCTTGGATTCATTCTCATCCGCAACATCCTTGTATTTAGCCGCCATATTCTCAATATTGGCGGAAATTTCTTCAATTTTTGCCTCAAAATGAGATAAATCTGTCTTCTTGCTGTTGGTGTTAAATTCGTTTTTCTGCTGAATATCCAGGAGTAGTCCTTGTATCTCCTCCTTAACCCTGTCTAACCTGGAATCTAAATTAGATGATATCTCCAGGTTTAGAGATTCTCTGAGAACTGTTTCCAGATCTAGATTACTCTTAGCTGATAAATCTTCTAAGGACTTGATAAACCGTTTATTCTCTAGAATATGTTCCACTATAGTCTCATAGTCTGGTGTAGAAACAATATTGTTTGTTGGAGAGAATATAAACTTGTTGCTTCTGGTCCAGGCTTCTATCAGTAATCCAACAAGTCCAGACCCAAAAGCAAATCCTTGACTCTAAGTTAAACTTATAAACCCTTCACCTAAACTTGTCATGGAAGTTCCGAGTCCCAATCCGAGGTTTAGAATCCAATCTAATATATTTGTTCCGAAATTCCAGAAACCATTAAATATATAAGATCCAATGTTGAAGGAGCAGGTCCATATATAAGCTCCAAGGTTAAATAATCCAGTAGAAACATCTGCGCCAGAGGAATAAATTCCTGTTCCAAAATGTGCTGGTAAAGTTAAGATAGCCGTTCCTAAGGAAGATCCTTGGTTCCAGGCAGAAGTTCCAAGATCGGAGCACAGGTTCCATATCCAGGTGCCAAAGGAAGCGCATAGTTTCCATGTGGAGGATCCAATATCAGAGCCCAGGTTCACTGTCCAGGTTCCAAAGGAAGCACATAGGTTCCAAGTAAAAGTTACAATATCAGAGCCTAGGTTCTGGACCCAGATTCTAATAGAATATGCAAAGTTTTGGATCCCTGTTCCAATACCAGAGCTTAAATTCGATGTCAAAGTTCCAAAGGAAGTGCCTAAGTTCCAGGTTGAGTTTTGGATGTAAGAGGCTAGATCAGAAATACAGATTCCAATAGAGGACACAAAGTTCTGGATTCCTGTTCCAATAGAAGAACCTAGGATCCATGTCCAGGTTCCAAAGGAAGTGCCTATGTTCCATGTAGAGGTTTCAATATGAGAACCTAGATTTTGGGTCCAGGTTCCAAAAGAAGCGACTAAGTTCCATGTAGAGGTTCCAATATAAGAGCCTAGGTTCTGAGTCAAGGTTCCAATTGAAGATCCTAGGTTCCAGGTCCAGGTTCCAATTGAAGATCCAAGGTTCCAAGTCCAGGTTCCAATTGTAGATCCAAGGTTCCAAGTCCAGGCTCCAATTGAAGATCCAAGGTTCCAAGTCCAGATTCCAATTGAAGATCCTAGGTTCCAGGTCCAGGTTCCAATTGAAGATCCAAGGTTCCAAATACAGGTTCCAATTGTAGATCCAAGGTTCCAAGTCCAGGTTCCAATTGAAGATCCAAGGTTCCAAGTCCAGGTTCCAATTGAAGATCCAAGGTTCCAAGTCCAGGTTCCAAAATTAATTGTGTCTCGAGATAGAATTTCCTCTATAATTTGTTGAACAGTTTGGATTATTTTCCTTGAAGAAGAAATCCCTGATGAACTAACATTGGAAACAATTCTCCAACTCCAGTTTATTCCAGTTGATGGGAGCTGGACCATCCAAGAGAACAAGGATTGGATGAATGATAAACTATCTTCAAGTTTGGATGCAAAGAAGTTGAGAATTGAGTTTGAAACATCATAAATTATTTCTCCAATAGAACTGAGATATTCTGAGAATGAGTTCTGAATCCCGGAGAGACTGGACACAATGAACAAGTTACTCCGTGATAAATATTTATAACAGTTCTCTCTAAAACTGATTGTCAAGTTTCCAAGTTTTTCTAACGAAGTATTGAACAGTTGAAAATGGTCGACTAGAAGAAAACAAGTTCCAAGAAAGAAAGGGATAAGAATCCAACAGAGAATTCGGGATTTTGAAGACTTATGTTTCTCTTGCAATCTAGCCTTCCTTATAATTTCATTTTGATGAGAAGTGTTGATTAAAATTTCAGGGCGTCTAGATGCGCAAATATTAGTGCTTAAGACATCCTGGGATAAATCAGGTTCCGTGGTTCCTTTCAATTCATCTTGAGTCACAGAATTCAGATTTAAAAACTTTGGAAGGAAAGAGAGAAGAAAGGATAAAAAGTCTAATCTAGATGCTTGGTTCCAAACAGCTGGGACAACTCCGCTAACATTATATTCATAAGCTCCATTACTTATCATTGCCTTGTTTTCTCCAGTAGTAGAGTTATCACGTGGCTCTTTGATAAATTCATCTCGGAGCAGTATATCATTAAGGATATTTTCATCTTCCGGGGTTAAATCTTGATTTATAGATAATTCTCCGTATATTCTCCTTGATGTTATCCTATTAAACTCCTCTAGGATGTGTGGTGGTAAACCCTGGAGTCTTCTACTTTTCCTCAACCCAACAGTATTACTCATTGGAATTGAACTAGACAACTTTCCATGTATCCAGGAAACTGGAAGACAAAGAAACCTGAGAAACTGTTTCCAGGAGTTTTCATATTTGCTAGTTTGGTTTGGAAATATTTGATCAGTTTCATCTTCACTCAGTTCAAACATTTCATTATCATTATGATTGCAACCTTTCAACTCAGCAGGAGCTCTAAACTCATTCCATTGTCCAGGTGTATTGACATTTTCTTGCAAAACATCGTTAGATTCTTTCCTTAGAAGGATTTCTTCAAGTAGTTCTTCATCATCTTGATCAGGTTCGTCTGGAGCCTGGAGTAGGACAGGTTCAGTGCTCCCTGAGTTAAACTGTCTCTCTAACCTTCTTCTCTGTCTTGCTTTCTTTAACTCTTCAATAACTTCAGCAGGTAAACCTTGTAATCTTCTGCTTCGTTTAAGTGGCGATCTTTTAGCAAAATGTTCTTTTCCAAATCCGAATTTTGTGAAGATTTCTGTAAAAATATTTAATGATGAAACACAGAAATTTCTTACAATTGTCAGAATACTTAAATTTTCTTCGTATTGATTCTTATTTTCTTCTCTTTGAAGGATTTCTTCAAGTAGTTCTTCATCATCTTGATCAGGTTCATCTGGAGCCTGGAGTAGGACAGATTCAGTGCTTGTGTTTCCTGAGCTAATCTGTCTTTCCAACCTTCTCCTCTGTCTTGCTTTCTTTAACTCTTCAATAACTTCTGCAGGCAGACCTTGCAATCTTCTACTACGTCTCATAGGAAAGTCTTGTCGGTTATATTTCTTTTCAAATCCTACTTTTGTGAACATTTGTTTTAAGAAGTTAGAAAATTTGAAATAGAAAGTGCTCAAGATTGTAATAACACTAGTTTCTTCATGATGTTCTTGTTCTTTTTGAGGAGAAAGTTCTTCTCTTTGAAGAAGGATTTCTTCTAATAGTTCTTCATCATCTTGATCAGGTTCATCTGGAGCCTGGAGTAGGATGGGTTCAGAGCTCCCTGAGCTAATCTGTCTCTCCAACCTTCTTCTCTGTCTTGCTTTCTTTAACTCTTCAATAACTTCTGCAGGCAGACCTTGCAATCTTCTACTACGTCTCAGAGGTAAGTCTTGTCGGTTAAAATTCTTTTCAAATCCTACTTTTGTGAACATTTGTTTCAGAAAATTCGAAGATTTGAAATAGAAAGTGCTCAAGATTCCAAAAACACTAGTTTCTTCATGATTTTCTTGTTCTTTTTGAAGAGGAAGTTCTTCTCTTTGAAGAAGGATTTCTTCTAATAGTTCTTCATCATCTTGATCAGGTTCCTCTGCTGCCTGGAGTAGGATGGGTTCAGTGCTCCCTGAGCTAATCTGTCTCTCCAACCTTCTTCTCTGTCTTGCTTTCTTTAACTCTTCAATAACTTCAGCTGGTAAACCTTGTAATCTTCTACTACGCCTCAGAGGAAAAGTTTTTTGGACATCTTTCTTTCCAAATCCTACTTTTGTGAACAATTGTTTCAGAGAGTTGAATAATGAAAATAAGAAAATGTTCAGGGTTGTAAAAACATTAGTTTTTTCATGATGTTGATCCTTTTCTCGGTCTTTATCATTAAGTTCTTCTCTTTGAAGAAGGATTTCTTCTAATAGTTCTTCATCATCTTGATCAGGTTCCTCTGCTGCCTGGAGTAGGACGGATTCAGTGCTACCTGAGCTAATCTGTCTCTCCAACCTTCTCCTCTGTCTTGCTTTCTTTAACTCTTCAATAAGTTCAGCAGGTAAACCTTGTAATCTTCTACTACGCCTGGTTGGAACCCCTTTGTATGCTGTCAAACTACCAGATCTTCTTGTAGCAGACGTAGCTCGAAAATATTGTAGAACAGTAGTAGAGGAAAAAATACTGAAAAAAAACTCACAGGTTCTGGACCAGATGGATAGGTTATTATCATCTTGAATATCTGCATCACTGGGTTTAGATAATAAGAGATAGGAGTTAACTCTAGTTCTAGTGGCAGTAGGAGGGTTGGAAGTATAGGCTGGAGGATCGGAGGGGGTATTAGAAGAAATGGAGGCAGCTTTCAGCATTGAATTGGCGTTTATAATACTGCGATTGGAGGTTGCATATGTAGTGCTAGAGGTAGCAGTAGTCTTGGAGGTAGAATTTATATTTTTGAAGGCAGGTGAAGGATCGGAGGTAGAAGAAGAGGTAGCAGTTATATTGCTGGAGGTAGGTGGAGGATAGGAGGTAAAGGTAGTTGAGGAAGTACGGATGGAAGTAGTTGAATGCATTACGGGTACTGCACCCGTAGTACTTAAAGATGATAGCAAACTTCTTGCAGATCCTAGAAATAGAAAGGTAAGTTATACAATTGTGTTAAACTCATAAATAGGACAAAATATATATTTTTTAAATCATCCCCCATCCGCCCTTTCTAAAATTTTTAACAAATTTTAAAGCTAAGTATAATTTTAATCAAAGAAAAAAAATTAAATAAGTGTTTGTGTGAGTTGTAAATCCATTTTTGAAAAAACATCTTCACCAAAACAATAGGATCATGATGGAATTCAAAACGAAAGCCCAAANCTTGAAATTCGGTTCTTACCTCGACTGAAAAGAGTGTTGATTAAATACCGACCCCTATCCTGATATAATCTTGTTGCCTGTATAATTGGAAAACTGAATACTGTGTAGAGAAGGACGAGGAGTAGAAGGATAGAACAAGATATTTTACTGAACAGTGTCTGGAGAACCCAAAGTAACAAGTGCCAGGAGCTGGACAAGGTTCGGGAGATAGAGAACCCTGCTTTCCCGTCCTGGTTCCTTCTGGAGGATTCCTTCATATCCCAGCTCCGGCCTCGGTAACCATAGTTTAACTTCTTCTCTTGGGTTCCGTCCAACCCTTCTTCATCAGAGAACTCGGAGAGTAGATTCTTTTTGGTTCTAGTTTCAACAAACTTCTCTTCTCTCCGGGTTGTAGTTTGAGTAGAAACTCCGGTATTTCCCCTAAAAAATCGATTAATTATTAACAATTGAATAAATGACTGACTTAATGGGTGAATAAATGAGAAAAATAAATAAGAGTGTAAACAAATAAGTGATTTAGACTTAATAAAAGAGTAAGTGAGTTAATGACCTGATTTAGAATGATAAAAGTAACTAAATGAATGAGTAAAACAAGAAAAAAAGGATGAGTGTAAATAAGTGAGTGATAGAGACTTTGTAAGTGAGTTAATGGTCTATTGATTGAGTCAATGAGTAACTTAATGAGTAAGTAAATGAGAAATTAGTGAGAGTGCATATAAGTGAGTGAGACTAAGTAAATAAATGAACAAGTTAATTATCTGATGTCGATCTATTAAAAGATTTAACATATGAATAGATCCTAAAAACTATTTTTTACCTATGTAGATACAGGGGCCATCTTGCCATATGAGGCATTGGATCATCTCTACCAGGTGTAATGGTCTCCCTAAATTCAAAAACATACATTTTTATCATTTTCTTTCCCTTATATCAGTGCTAAGGATCCATTTAATTTAGATGCGGATCCGGATCCTGGATCCGAACTAAAAATAAATGGATCCGGATCCAGATCCAGACCATGAAAATTTTCAATTTTATAAACAGAAGAATTTTGAAATTTTTTTATGTTAAAAAGATAGGGAACTATTTTAAAATCTATCTTTTCAACAGTTTAGTTTTGGTTTCTGACAGCAAAGGATTTTTCTTTGAAATTTCTGGTTGATATTTTCCACCTTGGATCCGGATCCTAGGCACTGCCTTATATTCTCTCTTTTTTCTTCTACTTTTTCATGTTATTCTCCGACCCAATTTCTCAAAAGTTGTATCCTCCCTCCTAATCTAATGTATTAATGGTCAAGCATCCCATTATTTAACAATGGTTAATAGCAAAAAATGTAAATATACAGGGTGAGTCAAAAAAAAAAAGTGATTTGCGGCGCCTTGTGCAAAATTGTACCTTTTTTGTGCAACTGTCCCGTAGGGTGTTTTTTCATTATTTTTTTATTTATATTTATTTGGTGCTCAAATGACCTTAAAGAAAATCCGCGAACCTTTTTTCTCTCAAAATCAAAGGTTCAGAAAAGCAAAAATGTGTATATAAATTATTTCTATCGAAATCTGAATTTTTTTAAGATTGAATCAAAATTGTAATAAGAAAATTCGTAATTTTTAGTTCTGGTCTAATTTTTAAGGAAAAGTTATTTAAATTATCTAGTTCCTTTCTTCTTAGTATATTCTAAATTATTAAATATACGCTGTTCAGTTGAAACCTTAAGAACCATTGAATAACAATTTTTCCGTAAAAATTATACCAGTACTGAACATTGCGAATTTTCTAATTACAATTTTGCAAATTTTCTGAGATTCTGTGATTTGTTCTTTTTATAGACTCAGCCTGTATATATATTCCAATATTTACAAAATAGCAAAATAGCAAAAAATGTGAATCTATATATATTCCATTATTTACAAAATATAACTATATATATATTTCATTATTTACAAAATGTAAGAATGTATATTCCATTATTTACAAAGTAAATAAATATATTCCATTATTTACAAAATATAAATATATATATTCCATTATTTACAAAATGTAAGAATATATACTCCATTATTTACAAAATGTAAATAAATATATTCCATTATTTACAAAATATAAATATATATATTCCATTATTTACAAAATGTAAGAATATATATTCCATTATTTACAAAAAGTAAATATATACATTCCATTATTCACAAAATGGACGCTAATTATTTGGGTTCCTAGCTTTCATTTGATATGCATAAAGCCATAGTTATATCATTTTCAATTTGAATGTCATTAGAGGTCGTTATAGGTCATTAGAAGGTCAAACACTGTATTATTTGGGTTCCTAGATTAATATGCATGAAGCCATGTTGAAACAATTTCTAATTGTCAAGATCATGAAAGGTCATTAGAGGTCATGAGTGTATTTTTTTTTATTAAGTTCCAGGTCGTCTTTAAATTGGAAGATTTAAACCAAATATGAAGGCAGGAACCCCCCCCCCCCCCTCCCCCATATCAAATAGGACATCTACACCATCCCCTTCAGCAAAAAAAAACAATTTAGACATTTTTACAAAAAAAGACTTTATTTAAATTTTGGGAGCTAGGAGTTCATAAAGAAACAAAGAGTCTTTAACAATCAACAGGATCTTTATTTTATGTCCCCCCCCCCCATTGCTCCTCTCACCCTCGTCCCTGTTCCGAAATACGGGGTTCGGAAAAATAGTTGCAATTTGGCTAGATTGAAGGATGGTCGAAGGATGTCCCATTGAAGAAGAAAAAATGAAGAACAAAAAATATAAAATATTTCCATCTGATATCAAATAAAAATTTTAAAATATTGTAAAATTTAATTAATATAAATTATTGAAGTTAAAATTTTATGTCCAAAAAAGTCTTTTTATTCTATTATCTACATATTTTGCAGAAAAATAACCATTCAAAAGGTTTAAAGAAAATACATATCTCCGAGTATTCTATAAAGTCAGCACTAACCTGTAAGTAAGAGATTTAGCATACGTATATCCGGTTCTAGGACTGTACTTCCAAGCATCTCCCTCCCAAAACAAGAGCTTGGGAGATCCGTTTAAACTGAAATACAATTTAAACGTCATTTTTTATTACTTTTTTAAAAAGAAAATTACAATTTTAATCAATCTAACTGCTTTGAGTTAACTCAATTAAGATTGATTAAAATCATACTCCTCTGCCGCTTAAATAAATGTAATTTGGCGGTACAGTCCAAAGTAGGACTGTAAAGGTTGGATATTCAAATGTACACAAGTGGGGCGTGACATTTATTTATTTCGACCATTTATAGCTAACTAATAAAGGAATCGAGTCTAAGAAAATTAAAATCATCAAATTTTTATATCCTTGCAACCTGATGGTGTAAATCTTTCATATTTGATTAATTGATCTTACAGAATTCATGCTTTGATATCTCTATAAGGTCTACGATTGGTCAATCAACCAGTGCTCAGGATCCGGATCCGGAAGATTTTAGCTTCCTGGATCCGGATCCGCAAAAATATGCGGCTCCAAGGATCCGGGTCCAAGGGGAAAAATATCAACCAAAAACTGAAAAAAGAATTTTACTCCTAAAACCCAAAATCTGAATTTTTGAAAAAAGAGAGATTATAAGAATTTCCTCATTTCTGAATGGTTCAATAAGTTTTAGGATTAAAATAAGCGAAAAAAAATAAAACTAAAAATTTGAAAATTATTTTTTTGTTAAAGAAATTCAGTAAATCTTAAAGAAATGACCTGGATCCGGATCCATTTTTTTCCAGTGCGGATCCAGGATCCGGATCCACATCAAAATTAAATGGATCCTAAGCACTGCAATCAACATTATAATACAATGATAAAAATAATTTTGCTTTACCTTGTTAAGAATATTTTATTCGTATTTCCGATTATTGATTATATTTACGTGTGTTTACAAAAAACATTATGATAATTTCCCAATTTAGGTTTTCCAGCAAATACATAAAATTATACTAATCTAGTCTAGTTATACAAATTTACCTGGAAGCATTTATAAGAGAATTGTTTCTTGAAGGTGTTTTGAACCTTCCATCCGTATATTTTTGACTAGATATTGAAGAAGAAGTACTTGTTTGCTCTTCAGAAAATTGAATCACTTTAGTCCTAGAAGACGACATCTTGGAAATCATTTTCGTGGATTTGTTGGATTCGGTTCTCGTGGATTTGCTTTGGATCGGTGTCGAGTGCTTGTACTGTTCAGATTCAGAGTCAGAAGAATTAAGAAGAAACTCTTTTGAAAGGTTTCTCGGTGTGAATTCTCTTGAACTGACTCCTGCTGTCGGAGAGGTAATATGTTTTCGTCTCCTCCGCATGGTTCGGACCGGAGAGGGACTAATTCTTGAGTTGAACACTAATCCGCGTCCGTCTGTTCTACCCTGAGACCGGAGAAACGGAGTTAAGGACCTAAACATTGAAAACATTATTAATAAAAAAAATGTTTTTAAGTATCTATATATCTGTTATTGTGAAGAAAGACCTGGACAGCAATATCTATCGTGAGGAAAAACCTGGACAGCAATATCTATCGTGAGGAAAAACCTGGACAGCAATATCTATCTATCTATCTATAGATATATATAAACTTTGCTTGTCTGTCTGTTTTTTTTGTTTGTATCCAATAAACCTCGAAACGGCTGAACCGATTGGGCCCAAATTTTTTGGAAAACCTCACATGACCCCAGGAAAGGTTTATAGACGGTCAAAAATTCAAAAATTAGCCTCCAAAAAATTGTTTAAAAATAAATTTTGAAAATTTACAATTTTTTTTTATAAAATCCACGAGTTTTTTGTTTTTGTTTTACAATGTATACAAAGAGAAAATGTTCACAATTGAAATAGAAGATGCCCTGAAGCCTAGTTTTTATAAAACAAATTTAAGTGAGAGGGATAATGTGTTTCTTTAAGAAAATATATTTTTCCCCTTCTAAAAATATAGGATAACATATTTTTGCAAATATAAGAATTGACGAATGTTTATCACATCTTTATCCTGGGTTATTGGACAGAAAAATTTAAAAATAACAATAAGAAGAAAAAGAAAAACGCAGAAAGCAAAGGAAAAAAACTTAACCCTATTCCTGCTGGGGGGGGGGGGTAAATTTAACCTACATACCCAAAGCCCTCCCTTTAGGCCTAAAACCAGGCTTTAATGCTAACTGCCTGAGTCCTCAGGCACACTACCTGAATGAATGCTTTTTCCCGTAACAAACTAAATCTTTGTTTTGATCCACTTCCACTTGTCAGATTTTGATAAAATTTAGCTTTTTGGAAAGCCTCTGACACAAGGAAAAGAATTGCAAAAATTTATTTAAAATTTTGCAAAATTTTTGGCATATTTGAAATGGCATGGTCAAGGGCTTTTCAAAAATGTATAACTTTTCATTTTTTGGACAAATTTTATTTTGCAAACATTTTTACTATATAACTGAATTTTGCGATAAAAATTCAAATTTTGCAAATTTGCAAAATTTTTTGCAGATTCTAAAAGTAGAGCACAAGATCTTTCCAATGATGTATCATTTGTCATATTTGGACATCAAACATGGGATTTAGAGGGGGGGGCAAATTGACCCCCCCCCCCCCCAGCATATCCTGGTTTTCAAGTACCTCAGAGAGATAGGGTTAAAGAGGATAAGAAAAGTTGAGGAAAGTAAAGCGGCAAAACATTTATTAATCATCAATGTTCGGGATATGTGTTTGCTTTGTTTTACAGAACGCAAACAATGACACAAATTTATTTATTTATTCAGTCAAAGCAAATATTAAGAGAGTAATCGTAGGCTTTACACAAAGTTGGTTGTTAAAAATAAATAAAATAATTAATGTTTTATATCTGGGCAATGGGCAGTGTTAAGTCTTATTTTAATATTTGATCTTATAAAACAACAAAAAAGTTATGACTTTCTTCCTGGAAAAAAAAACTGAAGAAAAAAACTTAGAATCACGATCGATATCAAGGTACAACTGATAAATATCTAATAAAATATTTGAAATATTTTAGATCGGTTTGTGGGGGGGGGGGGATTGTGAAGATTCAACTAAAAATGGCATTAAATAGTTAATCTTGATGTTACCAAAAATTTAGAAATAACGGGTAAATTATCAAATTATTAATTTATTAAACTTTGTAGTTATGGGGGTTCAATCCTTGAGAAAAATAAGCACATTGACGTGACGTGAGTTTCTTGAATCTTGGTTAAACACTTGAAACTTATTTTCTCACGTTGAAAATAAAATATTTCAACTTCAAATGAAATTGAGTGTGCAGTGGGTTTTATTGGGAACTAGCTTGGGAACCCGGCGTTGTCCAGGTGTATTACCTCCAGCTCGTGCAAGAGTTTAATTGGCGCTGTTTCAATTAATGTTTGACCGGCTAGTTTTTGATTTACCAAAATTAAATGGGCTTTTGTTAAAAACAATCCGCAATCACGGGCAGCCGTAGTACATTTGAATTTCGGAGCTGGGTCAACCTTTCCGGTCCCAGTTTGTACTGTATCGCCCAGACATTCGGTAAATAAAGCAGACACTCAATAGGACTAGTCGGTGCAACAAGGTTGACGCGGTTAGACTTTAGGTTGAATTTACCTTTTCTAAAGGGCTAGAGGTGCGTGCAATTGGAATAATATTTTTATTCGGCATAAACAGTTAGTTTTGAGCTTTAAGCTTTATGCTTTAAGCTTTTAAGTTTAAGTTGTTTATTAGGTTTCATTATTCAAACATTTTCTCATTTTCTTTACAAGCACAATTTTCCCTGGAATATGCCACAATATTTCTCTGTGTTTATTACCTTTCCCGGAGCAAGGACGGGTTGAGAGGAGAACTCTCCGGGTCCGGAGGTAGATCAGGGATATACTCTTCATCCTTCTCCATCCTGGAAATAAACAGGGATCATCTCATCCTATCTATATATCAATCTATCTGTCTATCTATCTATCTTTTAAGGTACAATGATAACCAATATTGTCAACAGCAACCAACCTTCAAGCTACAAATATTTAGCTAAAAAGTCAAAAACTGAACAAACATGTAATATTAATGTATATTGTACATTCGCAATGCTATAAATAACTAACTGGAGTGCCCGGCGTTGCCCGTAGAATTTAAAAAAATTGAAAATTAAAGAAAAAAATTGAATTTTGATGAAAAAAATAACCTATGTTATCTCGCGGGTAGCCATGGGTTTCCTCAAATAAATTCAGCCCATTCGGTCTAATTGTTTGGTCAACTAGCTGACATATATTTTATATATACATATAGTGTATATTCAAATAAACAAATATTAATATATGCGCGAAAAAATGTATTATATATCTAGATTATCTATATGAACAGAAAATTTCAATATTTAGAGATAATTTTTGTTTTTAATTTTATAAATATAGGCGCATTTTAATATGTCAGAGCAGGGCGTACAAAAATAACTTCTGTGAAAAAAAATATTTTTGGTGATCAAAAAAAGAAAAGAAAAATTGGACATAAAATTTTTGCTGCTCCGCGCAAACATATGTAATTTTTGATTATTTTTGAAAGGGGGAAAGATTTTTCAAGAAAGGAAAGGTTCCTGCCACAAACTCAAACTTTCTCATTCCCTTTTCTTTGAAACCTAATGGTGTAAACCTTATTTCCAACTTAGGCTTTTTCCTAGTTCATACGATTCATATTTAGAAATATCAAATACTTACGACTTGGGGTGGCAAAGATACAGGGTTTATGATTTTGAATTTTTTGGCAAAATCTCTTTTACTTTGCTTCTCTGATGTATAATTAACAAATATATGTTCTAAACCAAGGAAAGCCTGAGGATAAAGTGTTCTTTAAATGTAGATAAAAACTAATCAGTACTTTTGTAGGGGACACAAAATCTTCTACGGGGTGTGCACACAAATTTCAAATCAAATCAAATCAAATCAAATCAAATCAAATCAAATCAAATCAAATCAAATCAAATCAATTGGTTTAGAATAGACAACAAACACATGGCTGAACCCTGATTGAAATAGGCACTAATGGACTCGGCATACAGGAGTGAAGTGGATACCATTTTGATTTTGTACCCTGAATTGTCACACCTGTAACTTTTTTATCTAACGTGGTATTTGCCTCAAAAACTTTTGGTGGATTTTGAACGAGAACTAAATCAGCTTGAGTTCAGTGTGCTCTTCTGTTTAATTTAGTGCATCAAGTTCATTTCAGAAGGTACTTTAACATTCAGTATTGGGTTTCAAACACGGAGTAGGGAATAGAAGGGAGATATAACTGACGCGGTTCGCCCTACCATATGATTATACATGCTTTGAAGACGGTACTTCCTTTATATATGAAATATTCAACATAGGTTATTGTATACGCGGTAATTGTAGATCAGACAAATATATCTTATTCAAATGGAGTACCCGTCTTCAAAGCATGTATAATGATATGGTAGGGCGAACCACGTCAGTTATATCTCCCTTCTATTCCATACTCCCTGGTTTCAAAGCACTTCAACAGTATGATGCTCAAGTATTAACTTCAAGGACTAACAATACAGGGTGTTGAGTCTTCGCCACAAACTTAAATTTTCTAATATATATATCTTTTCAGTCTGATGGTGTAAACCTTTAATCTTAGACTTAGATTACTTGATCAAACAGTTTGAAAGATCTAAGGTCTAAGACCAATGCTAAGGATGCGGATCCGGATCCATTTTTTCCAGTGCGGATCCAGGATCCAGATCCGGATCCGCATCAAAATTATATGGATCTTAAGCACTGTCTAAAACTATGGGTTGCAAAGATATAGGGAATAGAAATCAGAGATTGTGACAAAGACTCAATTCCTTATCAAAATAAATTAAATCTAATTAAAACTTTGATTTCCTTGCTTTGTGTTCAGTATTGTTAAAACACTGTTATAGTTCTTTAATCTATATAAGTTAAGTAGTAATCTCTGTCTGTTTGTTAAATTGGATATAAATCTCACAGGAATATTTAGTTCTTTAATCTATATATGTTAAGTAGTAATCTCTGTTTGTTTAATTGGATATAAATCAAACAGGAATTTTTAGTTCTTTAATCTATAGATGTTAAGTAGTAATCTCTGTTTGTTTGTTTGTATATAAATCTCACAGGAATATTTAGTTCTTTAATCTATACATGTTAAGTAGTAATCTCTGTCTGTTTGTTTGTATATAAAGCTCACAGAAATATTATTTCTTTAATCTATATATGTTAAGTAGTAATCTCTGTTTCTTTGTTTGTATATAAATCTCACAGAAATATTTAGTTCTTTAATCTATATATGTTAAGTAGTAATCTCTGTCTGTTTGTTTGTATATAAATCTCACAGGAATNAAAAAAAATTAGTGCGCTTGAACAAATATTTTTAGTATTCCAGATCAATTGCACTAATGATCATTCGTACTAAATATTCCTGGCGCGAAAATAAAATATTCCTGGCGGGAAAATAAAATTTTAGTCCAATTGAACACAGAAAACCAGATTTTTGTTTATTTGCACTAATGTTAGATCGTACTAGAAACCGGTTACTGATCAGCTGACTTTATGCAAAAGTACTTTATAGTTCAATCGATATAGCATCGTCCAGAGTTTACTGTTTAAATAAAAGTTCAATATTTTGGCATGGGGTGAAGGGAGCAGGAGGGGGGGATAGATAAAACTCCTAAGAATGCGCGAATACCGGATAATATTTTCTTAATTCTCTCTCTCTATGACAGCTTGCTCTGACAGCTTGCTTCTATAGTAATGTTAAGGAAGAATAAAAAGGATGGAAAAGGATGGATACGAATGTTATTAATTTGGTTTGACCTAACCTGCACAGTTACTAATTAGCATAACATAATTTCTCGCGCATTAATTAAAATCAACTGCATAACAGATATAAGGCGCGAGTACACATGTTCAGGAATTTACAATTATGGAGCTGGAAACTTTATAAAACAATAACAAAATAACGAAACCGAAATTTAAAACTTTTTTTTAGAAAACAATGATTCTTTCGAATGGCTAAAGAAGTAATTTATTTAGGATCAAAAAGTAAGTTTCAAAAACTTGAAGAAAACATTTCTATATATCTTTTATTTCTATCTTAAGTAAAGTGAAGTAAATGATCGAAAGGGCCCTAAAACTCAAGTCATCTAAACTCGGTTTCGATGCTTGGCATACGTTTTCAACTCTGTAGTTCATTGTGTATCTTGTTTCTTATACTACATACTAAAGAATTGAGTTTGAACAAGAAATCTCTGTTTACCAAATATTGGGTCGGACTCGTCGGACAGATGTAGATAATCCCTCCCCTTTAAATATTATAAGATAAGGGGTGAACCTTATACAAACAGTTTAACGACGGACAACGCAATAGATATAATTTTGAATCTAAGATTTAACTGAAAATTTTCAGAAATAATTTAAAAACTTTAAAAGGTTAGTTTTCGTCATAAATAGTTGTTAGAAACCCTTCAAGTCAATCCCATACATTAATGAATTAATGAATTAATGAATTTTTATAAATCCATATATACACACACCTCTGCCTCTTTAGTAAAAGTAAATTTAACCTATATGAAGCATAAAGTCTGGCCACTTCAACCTTGTTGCACCGACTAGTCCTGTCCATAGAGCTATGTACAGTTCAAACTAGGACCGGAAAGGTTGACCCGGCTCAGAAATTCAAATGTACTACGGCTGCCCGTGCATATATTGCCTGTTTATTTAGTTTCAATCTATTAAGATTAAACGTTGCTAAAACGGCTAAACCGATAATTTTTTATCTTTAACTCAAATAGGGATTATGAATTTGACGAATGAGAACGGAAAAAAGAAGTGTATCGTTAAAATTTAAAAAAGTTTAGTGTAAATACGAAAGGCTTGCAGATTGTTCATCGACAAAATGTATTATATTAGAACTTATTTTATTCCAAAGCTTTACTAGAAGGTATTTATTAAGTTTAAACAAAATTACCCCCGCTCATTTTTATTCATTTGTTATTTGGATTCTTTGTGGTAATTGGTCAAGGCACTCCTTACATGGTTTAAACTAGGATATCGAATTGAGAATATCGTGATTTCATTCTTCATAATACTGCTGTTCATGACTCTAAAGGAACAAGATTTTAAAATGAATAACCCCCTTATTAAAATCATTTGTTTATTAAAAAATCTGTTTAATGAATTAATTTGAAAATCATTTGTTTAATAGAAATAATTTGTTTGTTTGTTAATAACGTAAACAAACTGAGTCTTATATAGTTTTTTTTTAAAAACATTGCAGCTGATCAATTAGAATTATTTTAAGTTAAACTTAACGAAATATTATACTTTGTTTACATTCTTAGACAGAGAATATCTGTATAATTATTTTATACTATGTATATGATTTAATACCTTATATTTGAATGTTGAAAGACCCTACATCACCACTAGTATATAACGTAGACCGCGTAGTTTTCACTGAACATGTAGAATCAGCCAAACACTAAGAGTAATTTCTACGAGAAGATACTACAACCGAATACTGCCTGGGGCTGTATATCAAAATAATTCGCTGTGCTTTTCGGCTTTGCTTGCTTGCCCCGGTCTATGAGTCATGACGTAATGGGTCACATGATCAAAATCTACGAATAACAGAAAATCTGTCAAAAATGTTCAACCAATCAGAGCTCAACCCTCACTCCCGGTTTGCTACTTCACAATATTTTGGAAAATAAAATTCAAGTTAATTTTAAAAAGATAAACAATCAAAGGAAATAAAAAAAAACATTCAAATAAAAATTTTAAACCTCCTTCCCCTTCCCCCCTCGAGACACATTGATAGGCATGGGGTGAAGGGAGCAGGTGGGGGGGATAGATAAAACTCCTATGAATGCGCGAATACCGGATAATATTTTCTTAATTCTCTCTCTCTATGACAGCTTGCTTCATAGAGAGAGAGAATTAAGAAAATATTATCCGGTATTCGCGCATTCATAGGAGTTTTATCTATCCCCCCCACCTGCTCCCTTCACCCCATGCCACATTGATAGATGAGAAAAGAAAATAAATACGGCGAAAGGGGACCGAAAGAAAGAGTTGAAAAAGATCGTTAATTTAATAATAAAGTTTTCAAAAAAGAAGAATGGATCGAAATAATTGTGATGTTAGGAAATTAAATCTTTATGAAGAATATATAAATCCCTGCGGAAACCGGTTTATTTTTCATCAAAACAAACCGCGGCAATTGCGCTCTTTAATACGCTTTAGTTTTGAATTTGAAAATCGAAAGTTTGCCACAAAAATGCTGTGAATTCACAAAAAAAATTGTTTTACCTAAACAGCGTGGCGGGGTCTGTCCTATAAAGAAGGATTTTTGGACCTGTAGCTGAAGCAATCAAAGTATAAAATCTCTATAAAAAGAATTGAACTATTTGTAATATTTGTGTACCTTGAATGTTATTTTTTGTTTATAGAAAGAAAAGAGTTATTGGAAAGAAATCGGCTGGCAAAGTAAGGGCTCAATTTGTTTGTATGTACATGAAATGTTGATCATCTGGCCGCAGCGCCCGACCCCCTAAAATGTCCTAACCGCGGCGCTCGGCCCCCTGGACTATCATAACCGCAGCACTCGGCCCAAAAATTGTCTTTACTTAAGCTGACCTTACCATGAAATATGTAAGGTTTTGATAAAGGTGAGGGGGGGAGGGGCTGTCAATAAAGAATTCTCAATATCTCTTGTAAATTATTTTGAAATTTTCAACTTAAATTTAAGAAAGAGTAATTCGGTATCAAAACGTATTTAGTTTTTTTTCAGTAAAATGTCGGTTGATTACAATGATGATATGGACGAGGATATGGAGTACTTGGAGAACCTGGAACCAGAGCAGAAAGCTCTTCTCTCAAGGTTAAAAGTCTTTGAATCTTTTATTCTTTGAATATTACCCACTCCCCCCCCCTTATAGGTTCTTTTTGCTGAGTTGGGTAACAAAATTGTATATGCGGTATTAGGTAATTAGGTGAATATATCAATACTAGCCTTAGAGGGCGCTTCGCGCCCATCTTCTAAATTAATTGTGAACATGTTCTCTTTGTGTACATCGTAAAACAAAACAAAAATAATTCGTGGATTTTCACAAAAAAATCGTATATTTTCAAAAGTTTAAAAATTTTAATGAAGATCGAATTTTGATGAGACAAATATTTAAAATTTCAATCATCCATAAACCTTCCCTGGGGTCCCTAGATGTCACACAAAAAATTTGGGCCCGATCGGTTCAGCCGTTTTGACGTTTATTGGATACAAACAAACAGACACCAAAACAAACAAACAGACAGACAAGCCAAATTTATATATAGATAATGAAGACGACTTTAAGTTTTTATTGTTAGTAAGCCTTTCTCGAATTATAAGTTTTTAAGTAATTAAATTGAGAAGCTTTTTCTATATGATGTCTTCTCTTTTTTCCATGTTTTTGTGTATTCACACTGTTAAAAGCTTGGTGTAAATCAAAATTTAAATCTTAAGTAGTCTTCATTATATTGATATAATCGCCTACCACCGAAGGTGATAATAAATTAATTTTTTTGGTAAAATAAATTAAATCGGATGAAGGAAAAAACTACAGCATCAAAATCCCACCACCATGCCCCTCCCCCACGCCCCCCCCCTCCGCGGTTGGATACTTTTTGAATTTGTATACCCCTGTTGACTTTTTATAATTTTTCTAATTTAAAATAACTCCTCTGAACTTTTTCTTTGAACAATGGTGCGAAGAGAGGGATATTAATATAGTTAACAAAGAAAGAATTCTGGTAATATTAAAGTAAAGTCATCGTAATCTCGAGTGAAACCAGTGCTTAGGATCCGGATCCGTTGGATCTACAAGATTTTGGCTTCCTGGATCCGGATCTGGATCCGCGAAAATATACGGATCCGGATCCAGGGGTAAAATATCAACCAAAAACTGCAACAAAAAAAATTTACATTCAAACCCAAAATTTTAACTATTAAAAAAGAGAGATTATAAAAATTTCCTCATTTCTGAATGGTTCATCAAGTTTTAGGATAAAAATAAAAAAAATTGAAAATTATTTTATGTTAAAAAATTCAGTTATCAGTAAAGAAATGATCCGGATCCGGATCCTATTTTTCAGTGCGGATCCAGGATCTGGATCCACATCAAAATTAAATGGATCCCAAGCACTGTAGTGCTAAAACGAAAATCTTAACTTTTGGGAAAAAAAGAGAGATTATAAAAATTTCCTCATTTCTGAATTGTTCATCGAATTTTAGGATACAAATATGCGAAAAAAATAAAACTAAAAATTGAAAATTATTTTTTTAAATAAAATCAGTAAATCTTAAAGAAATGGCCTGGATCCGGATCCGCATCAAAATTAAATGGATCCTAAGCACTGAAGCACTAAGTGAAACACTAAATAATTACATTTTTTCTTTTACTTAGGTTAGCGGAGATGAACGAAGACTCAAATTATAGTTCAGCCAGGCTCAACTTTGGACTTCAGGTCATATTCCTAGAATTTGATTCCCAAAATAGTTTATTTTCAACTTTTGAACAATATTATGACACTTTTGAATCCCTGATATTTACAATGCAACGCTGTAACCAGGGTAGCAATGTCAGATTGCAACCCTATGGATGCAATCTAATTAATTGCGAATTTTTCTTGCAAGAAGTTGCGGATTTACAACTACGAAAATATTAATTAGATTTAATTTTTAAACTCAAATTATGCATTATTAAACTTAATAGATTTTACAATTTTTGAAACCTGAGAAAATTGTTGATATTTATATTTGTTTATAAGCGAAAAAATATGATTAAAAGTTACATATCCCTTCATTCACGTGAATAGGGATGTATTAATAAAGGATGGAATTATATATTGCCTTGGCTTTCCTTGACCTTTTTGGGTCTCAAAGCATCCCTTGCTAAGCTCGTAATGCTTTATGACCCAACAAGGTCCTTGGAAGCCTCATCAATGTAAAATTCCTTTCTATATTAAATGTATTCCTATTGCCTCCCTGTAATTAGGGATGGATCGTTTCCACTTTTTTGAAAAACGATCGTTTTGTTTTAAAAACGACGCAAAAAGAACGAAAAACGTAATAATAATCTTTAAAAACGAAAGTTTTTTGGTAAAAAAATCGATTTTAAAAAAGTCGTTTTAAAAACCATAGTTTTTCGTTTTTTTAAAAAAACGTTTTTTTTTAAACGATCGTTTTTAAAATCGATGGTTTAGATAACGACCCTTCGTTAACGATCGTTAGCAACCTTTCAAAGAGAAAATACATTTTTTTGGTCTGAAAATCAGAGGTAAGAAAACATACAGGTTATTTGTCTCCAAAAAAACCATTTAAGACAACATTAAAAAACGTATAATCCTGAATAAAATATTGAAATTAATTGTGATTTAACTCAGATTCATTAGCGAATTATTTTTCAAAAACGATCGTTTAAAAAAACGATTTTTGAAATTTCAGAATGAGTATTCGTTTTAAAAAACCTTTTTTTTCTAAAAACGAAACGATCGTTTTAGAAAAAAGAATAAATGCATGTAATGTAATGCTGAGATGAATAGTTAGTTAAGCCTATATTGTAAGACAAAATTCTAGTCAAGAAAGGCCGATCGCTGCTGCAATTGAGATTTATACATGTTTATTTAGATTTTAGAACATATATTTATGAAAAAGTATGACAGTTTGTAAATTGGATATTTTCTAAAAGTAATAATTTTTTTTCTAGGATGGTACAGATTTCATTGATGGGCGGAATTCACCACAAGAGACCAAATATAAAACTGAAGTGTTAAAAGAAAACCTCCGGAAGGACGGAAATTCTAAACTAAAAGGGATTCAAAAAGATTTTTCCAAATCCAGTAAAGTGATTCGACCTAATTCAGGAGCTGCTAGTCCTTCTTTATTACGATCTAATAGTGATAAACCGATGCCTTTAAATAATTTCAATATTCCACTCCGACCCTCACTGTCCAGTTCAGTAGGATCAGATTCCTCTTCACTCCGACCCTCACTGTCCAGTTCAGTAGGATCAGATTCCTCTTCACTCCGACCCTCACTGTCCACCTTAGCGGGGTCAGATTCTTCTACACTCCGACCCTCACTGTCCAGTTTAGCAGGATCAGATTCCTCTTCACTCCGACCCTCACTGTCCAGTTTAGCAGGATCAGATTCCTCTACACTCCGATCCTCCATGTCCAGTTCAGTAGGATCAGATTCCTCTACACTCCGACCCTCACTGTCCAGTTTAGCAGGATCAGATTCCTCTACACTCCGATCCTCCATGTCCAGTTCAGTAGGATCAGATTCCTCTACACTCCGACCCTCACTGTCAAGTTTAGCAGGATCAGATTCCTCTACACTCCGACCCTCACAGTCAAGTTTAGCAGGGTCAGATTCCTCTACACTCCGATCCTCACTGTCAAGTTTAGCAGGGTCAGATTCCTCTACACTCCGACCCTCACTGTCAAGTTTAGGTTCTTTTGGATCAGGTTCTAGAGAGTTTTCTATACCCTCCCTACTAGGATCTAATAATTCTAATCCCAGCAAGTTCACAATACCTTCTCTTCTATCTTTAACTCCAGCAAGTTCTAATCCTGGTTTCGGACTTACTCCGTTGACAGATAGTTCATCTAGTAGATTAGAATCTCTGGCTGAACTCCACCTTTCTTCATCTTCAACTCCGAACCTGAATTCTCTAGCCAACCTTCATCTTTCATCTAACCATAGTGTGTCCTTACTCGGAGGAAGTAAACCTTCTCCCCTAACTTCTGGTGGATCCGTACTAGGAGCAACCAAACCATCTCCCCTAATCGCTGGTTCAATAAACTCCTCTGTATTAAAACCTTGTTCGGAGTTCAGTTTAACTCAAGATATTGATCTCACATCTGCTCTGAAAAGTATCCAACCATTGAAGTCGGTTAAATTAAACTCAACCCCGGAGCAGATCAAACCGGAGACAGTTCTTCTCCTGGTTGATATTTCAACCCTGAAATCCAATCTGAGAGAGAAAATTCCTTCATCCTTCGGAAAAGTTATTAAGAAACGGTAATAAAACTTTTTTTCTCTATAGGCGTTACGTAATAAAAAAATTAATGGTCTGTATATTTTGAGGGGGAACATTTTTTTAAGATGCTTGGAGTCTAAAGATTTTGCTGTTCCTTTGAAGAAAAAACTATTTATACCTAATGTTAAAGTATTATAAATACGTATTTAAGATTTGATTTAAGTACTGGATTTACATTTTGAATGTAAAACTTATTTTTATAATCATAAAGGTGGTGAATTTAATATTCGACTGAAATAAGAATTATTGGTTTTTTATTATTAATAAATAATAAATATATTACGTTGAAAGAACTACATGTTTCATTTTGCAAGATGACAAATTAAGTTTAACATCTGTAGTATTTATAACTTTAAACATTTTTAGATGGAGACGGGTTGCAGGGCTTCATAATCTCTCATACAATATAGCTAACTACTCCCTTCTCGAAGAAGTGGCGTCCATTGATAAATCCAAGATGGCGTCCATCGATAAATCCAAAATGGCGTCTATCGATAAATCCAAGATGGCAGTTCGGTTCCAGTTTAACGAACCTAGTCCTGACGATGTGGTGAAGAAAGCCCAGTCTCAATCCAGAGCATTTCAATTTAGACAATCCCCTGATAGGGTTTAGCTAGCGATAGACCTGAAAATTCTAAACATGTAAAAATTAATAATGTAAGACGGAAATTATTTATAAACTAGATAAAACTCTTATTGGTTAAACAAACATTATGATAGTTATTTTAGTTCAGTCCTCGTAGCAGTGCTTAGGATCAATTTAATTTGGATGCGGATCCGGATCATGGATCCGCACTGGAAAAAAATGGATCCGGATCTAGGTTATTTTATTAAGATTTACTAATTTTTTGCAAAAAATAATTTTCAAATTTTTTGTTTTATTTTTTTCGTTTATTTTTATCCTAAAACTTAATGAACCATTCAGAAGTGAGGAAATTTTTATAATCTCTCCTTTTTTCAAGTTAAAATTTGGGTTTTAGGAGTAAAAAAGTTGTTTTCAGTTTTTGGTTGATATAATACCCCTTGGATCCGGATCCGTGGATCCGGATATTTTTGTGGATCCGAATACAGGTCCAGGAAGTTAAAATCTTGCGGAACCAACTGCCTTGTAGTATACATTAACAAAATGAAGACGACCTTTGGTTTACATTTTTATTTCTTCCAAGCTTCCAAATAGCATGGATATGAACAGGGGACTAAAGAGAAGCTGTCAATTAACAGCTTCCCTTTATTTACTTGTAAACTTGTAATTTAAAAAGAACTTTTTTAAAAAACAAAACTTATTTCGTTAAGTCGTTTTCATTGTTTCAATATACAAACGCCGATTACTCTAGGTCAACATGTTTTTAATTGTATAAACATTAGTAACATTTATTATATACTAGCTGAAGGGCCCGGCATTGCCCGTGGAAAAAAATGTTGAAAATTTTTTTTCGAAATTTGTTTAGCCTATAGCACTCCCCGGCCACCCATGAGTGTCCACAAAAAAAATTCAGCTCAATCGGGGCTATAGGCAACATATTTATTTACGAATGTCTTGTTATATTATATAGATTAACTTAGGAGTAATCTATAAGTCATAAATTATGATAGTTTTTGAATTTGATGTATTTTTTCTTTTTAAATTGGAAAAGCGGTCATTTCAATCTTTCTGTCCTGTTCTTAATTTTAAGAAAGGTGTTTCACCCATTAACCTACATAGATTTTTAGTTTTTTAAATGAAAAAATTATAAATACGAATAATATATGCAATATCCTTAAGAAAATTGTGTTTTGAATTCGTAAGAGATATACCTCTATTTCAGTCCTGTTCCTTTTTATCACTTATTACTCATTCCTTAGCGAAAAAGATTTTATTTTTGTTTCTTGGCGTTTTCTGGATTCACAATTAAAAACATGAATAGAAACTGAAATCGAGGATCAACGGCATTCTACTTTTTATTAAACTGTGAAAATGATATTTTAATTTTTGGTACAAAGTAACTTATATATACTCTAAAAGACCACTAAACTAAATGTTGTATATTGTAAAGAATTTACGTATTAATATCTTATATTATTTTTGTGATAATAATGATTATCTTTGACAAGATGAAATAAAGTAAATTAACGAACCTATTTTTTGGAAAAAAATATTTTTGTTCAAATATTATTTTACATTCGTCTCTTAATTTTCCTAAAAGATACAGCGGTAAATTTACATTTAATTGTTTCTGAAATCATTTGGACAAAATGGAAAAAAATTAAGAAAAATGCTGTGAATAAAATGAGAAAATAGCTTTGTATTAAATGGTCAAATGACAGTGAATAAAATGAGAAAATGGCTGTGGATAGAATGAAAAAACGGCTGTGAATAGAATGAGAAAAGGGCTGTCAATAGAAAGAGAAAATTGCTGTGGATAGAATGATGAAAAAGGCTGAGGATAGAATGAGTAAAATGGCTGTAATAGAATGAGTAAATGGCTGTGGATTAAATGATCAAGTGGCTGTGAATAAAATGAGAAAATGGCTGTGGATAGAATGAAAAAATTACTGAATAAAATGAGAAAACGGCTGTGAATAGAAAGAGAAAATGGCCCCGAGGATAGATGAGAAAATGGCTGTGGATAGAATAAGTAAATGCTTGTAAAAGAATGAGCAAATGGCTGAGAATAAAATACGAAAACGGTTGTGGATAAAATGAGAAAACGGTTGTGGATGGAATGTGAAAATGGCCCGAGGAGAGAATAAGAAAGATGTATTTTTGTTTCTTGGCGTTTTCTAGATTCACAATTAAAGAGATAAATAGAAACTGTTTTTATCTTGCTGTAAGAATTGAGGATCTAAAATGGCGTAAAAGTTTTTATTAAACTGTAAAAATGATTTTTTAATTTTTGGTACAAAGTAACTTGTATAATACTCTTAAGACCACTAAACTAAATGTTGTATATTGTAAAGAATTTACGTATTAATATCTTATATTATTTTTGTGATAATAATGATTATCTTTGATTAAATATGTTTGTAAATTAACACGTCTCACTTTTATTCTATCCTATTATAAAGCTTGATAACTAACCACCACTAGCCTAGGATGATCATTTTAGGTATTTTATCCGATAGTTAAAAGAAGGTTTTTTTTGGGAGGATTTTTCTTGCCTGGTTCAGTGGATCCATAATTTACCAGATTCTTAATTCAAAATAGAACTGGGATGTATGTATATTGTATGTGTATTGCAGTAACCCGTCCATAGCTGATGATGAAGGATTCTTCCATGAGGCCTGCTGCGAAAGTAGAACCTAACCATTTCAAAATCTTACACTAGGAAATAACCTATCATTAATTTTTAGTTCTTTTTTAGAATACTAATTGGAACATTTACATAAAGGGCACATAAAGCTCTAATCCTCTACCAGGAGTCATTTTTGAAACAAGAATAAATGAAGAAAGAAAAAAGTCAAGAATGTCATGATTTTTTATCATTAATTTAGTGCACGATATTTAATAATTAGAGTCTTATCTCAACCATATTCTTCAGTAATATACAGAACCTGGCACAAAGCTCTACATTGTACAGAAAAGTAATAAAAGGTCAAAGCTTTGAAGTTTGTATTTTCAAATAGTTTTCAAGTGCATCTAGTCCCAATAAATATGAGAATTGAGAGATTATGCTAATATCGTCTTTGATTTCCAATAATTAATAAATGACATAAAGTGCATAAAAAAAAGATTGAAAATCTAATGGGATGAAATTACACAAAAGATGAAAAGGATTAAAAGAGGGGGAAGGATTAAATATGATTATAATATAACATTAAACTCAACTACGAAGTTTTACAAGTTACAACATAGTAATTACTTTAAATTTACAAGCTTTCCAAAATGTGGTCTGCCATCTTTGTATGTTGAAAATTGAGGGAGATATTTAAAATTTGAACAGTTTTGTTGATTTTTAATAAACTAGGCTTTTCGGAAATCCTAAGACTAGTAGATTTCGTCGTTCAATGTTTAACCGTGATACTACAAAGATAAGTTCACGAAAAAATCCCGCTTGGAAGAAAAGCGATATTAAAGTCGATATTTAATTCCCATGTTTTTTGGAACACCCTGTAGGAGAAAAAATGGAAATTGTTAGGGTTAAGACCTAATCCAGACGGAGAAACGAAGAGATGAAATAGAATGAGCAAATGGTTGTAATAGAATGAGCAAATGGTTGNTAAATTTTATGATATATTACATGGACAACCAAGAACTTATCAACTATGGACAAAATCCGGCCTTATCCTGCACAGTTGGTTAAATCAGGGATTGGATAATGAATTTAACTACAGGGAGTCACAGAAAAGTCGTCTTAGATCTTTAAATTATTTGTGACATTCAGTCGTCAACCTACTTTATAACATGTCTGATTCTTGAAATATAATAAACACAAATTTCTCCTAATCCTGGCATTTACAGAATATATGGTCGCCCTTTTTTGTGCTATAAATATTTGACATTAGCTCAGATTTAAATTTTGTTAAATAAAATTAAAATTGTCGAAATCTGAACGAAATTCTTTCCATCTCAAGTAATGTTGAAAGTTCAAAAAAGGCAGACCACATTTTGGAAATGCCAGAACTAGGGGTATTGAGTGAATATTAACTATAGTATTTTACTTCTGAAATTAGGTGGAAAAATAAATTAAGCAAATTATATAAAAATCTAAGAGGACTTTATAGTTGTATTGCTACTTTCTTGTTTTGTGGGACACCCTGTACCTACGGTCGATTCAAATACTTGTTAACACCTATGTATAAGACATGGGATCTGTGATTCAGGATATCTACACTGCAAAACTATTAAAGTATTTGAATGGAGGTTTGGCAGCCGAATCTAATGATGATTTTTGTAATCTAAAATTCTAGAATTTGATATGGCAGGTCTTGGTATAGATTCAAGGCATTTGACAGATAATGATATTCAACGTATAGGAGAGAGAACGAGGAGAAGTATTCTTCAACTAATCAAGGTAGAGAAGGGCATCATTTGTTTTTGTGAACACACGAAATTTTTCATGAACATGGTGTCGTTCAAAAAAAAACAACGGACAAAAAACCGAATGATTTAAAACAATTTAAACGATCATAAACGATTTCTGAATCTTTCGTTCGAACTAATTTGAAAAAAACGATTGCTTTTACTGAAAGAATGATTTAACTGGGCAATACAATAAAGAAACTAAATGCCAAACAGGCTCGTCTCTATCTGAAGGTTTTATTAATCAACTTTTTAAATAGACCTCAAAAAGACTTCAAAACTTTATAAATTAATTCAATACATTTTTTGTTTGACTTTTGAAATTGTCTTTATAAATTAACTTTAGAAGTTGACTTTATTGATTTGCCTTTGTATTTTTAGAAATTAACTGAATAAATATTTTTTAATTATCACATTCAGCATTAATTTCATTAATTAAGTTCTTTATTTATTCTGGATTAATTTCATACTTTGTATTTCTGAAATAATTACATTCATTGAGTTTCATAATTAACTTGAGGATTGACTTTATGAATTCACTTGAGCAATTGACTTTATGAATTAACTTGAGCAATTGACTTTATGAATTAACTTGAGCATTGACTTAATGAATTATCTTGGGCATTGACTTTATGAATTAACTTGAGCAATCGACTTTATGAATTAACTTGAGCATTGACTTTATGAATTCACTTGAGCAATTGACTTTATGAATTAACTTGAGCAATTGACTTTATGAACTAACTTGAGCATTGACTTTATGAATTAACTTGAGCATTGAAAGTTAACTTTATGAATTAACTTGACTGATTGACTTTATGAATTAACTTGAGTATTGACTTTGTGAATTAACTTGAACATATAATTTAGTAATTAACTTGATCAATTTATTTTATGAATTAACTTGAGCATTGACTTTATGAATTACCCTACTAACCCGAAACCCTAAAAATACCAAAGTCTGTATATAGGTATACGTATTAATAGGTATTTTTACGTATAAATATGTATGCTCAACTTTTGGGTAAAGAACTTACGTAATACGTATATTTACGTATAATTTCGTATTTATCATACCAAGCATTTTTTTTAAATGCGTTGGTTTTCCAGAAACGTATTTATACGAAAAATTACGTATACTTTTTACTAAGTAATTTTTCTAAATTTTTAGGTTTTTATTTTACGTATTTTTTAGGTTTAATTCTTTACTTAAAAAATTGTATTTTTTTGAGTTTAAAAGTTTGATGAAAACCTAAAAATACGTATATTTTCGTAAATTTCATACCAATAAATTTTTAAAAATTTTCAGGTTTTTATTTTACGTATTTTTACGTATTTTTTAGGTTTTTCTTTACTTAAAAGCAATTAATTTTATTAATTAATTTGAGCATTGACTTTATTATTAACTTACACATTGACTTTATGAATTAACTTGAGCATTGACTTTATTATTAACTTACACATTGACTTTATGAATTAACTTGAGCATTAAGAAAATAAAAAAGAAAGTTGTAATGCTTCTATTAACAAGGATGAAGGTGAAAACAAAGAAGAAGATTATTGTGAACCAAAGAGGAAGACTGAAGAAGATAACAAAAAGAATAATCTTACAAAAAATCAGGTTTTTATATTATATAAAGCTAATGCCCATCCATGCAAAGACAACCATACCCTTAAAACCTGATCAAAAATGCGGAATATAACAGCGTTTTTCTAACTCCAAAAGTGTTTAATTCTGTGAGTTTCTCCATTGATCCTTTTAACCAAGAAATGCGCTAGTTAATTTAGCAAAGAAATGGAAATAAACAGTTGGAAGATACAAAACATTAATATATTTTTCATATTTCAATTGTTTTAGGGTATAAATCAGGCATTGATATCTTTGCATTGGGGACCCTTGAAATCACGCTTAAAGTCCCTTTAAGTCTATTTTCAACAACTTAGGAAGCATATTTTTCGCATTTTCTACAGTTTACCCCAGAGATGAATTTATGAAATTTCGTCTTGACAATTTGTCAATGGGTTTTATACTAACCTCGTTGGGTTTATACTAATTCTCAGTAATTGCAAGAATAAATAAATATCCATGAATATGCATAAGTAGTTTTAATAAGCTCCGTTTAATCATTTCATTTAACTAAATATAAGCAACATTCCATTATCAGGAATTGTTAATAATACGACTTTTTATAATTTCTTCCGATGTCTCTTTATATTTGAACTTAACTCTATCAAAAAAATGTTTTTTGGCCTAAGTTCGTTGTAAGTATTTAGTTGCATAAAGGGTTCATTATGTCTTGCTTTTCATTTGTAACTGAGTTTAATCACTAACTTCTTAAATTCTTGAAAGTTTTACTCTTTTCTTGTATTTAGGTAAAACAGGAAACCCCAGGATTACTGGATTCTCTTCTATATTCAGGAACACTTGAAAAAAAAAATTGACTAAAAATTTTAAATACTAGGCTTTTAGCATCTTTTATTTAAATTGTGAACATGTTCTTTTTGTTTACATGTTAAAACAAAGAAGAAAAAGATTTTGAGGATTTTTTAAAAAGAATTCGCGGATTTTCAAGAATTTAAATTTTTTTACAAAATTGAAAACCTTTAAAACACATTTTTTTAAATTTTTATCATTCATAAACCTTCACTGTGGTCACGTGATTTTCCACAAAAAATTTGGGTCCGATCGGTTCAGCCGTTTTGACGTTTATTGGATACAAACAGACAGACAGACAGACAAGCCAAATTTATATATAGATTCTGAAAAAACTGGTCAACACATTTTTTGTTTTTTTTTATCATACAAATATAGCGCATAAGAGCTAATTATTGTAGATTTTTAATTGTTTTCTGGCTCATGATCAGGAAATTTTTCCGAGATCATAATGAAAATTCTCTACCAACTAAATGGAACCCAGCTGGCCTGTCTACAACAGGTTTTTTTTTTATTTCGCGGGTTTCTTAGGCAAAATTTGGCGCAATTTCTTGAATTTTAGTTTTTTTTGTATAGATCCAAAGTTTTTCATTAAAACCCTTCCAATTGATTTAATGAACCCAATTTTTGATCTACCTACAGTGAAACCCTTAATAATGAATACATCGGAAGAATTTATCAAATGTGGTCTTGACAATTTTTCAATGAGTTTTATACTATATTACGTAAATTTCAGTATTTGCGAAAATAAATAAATAGCCATGAATATGCGGGAACAGTTTTAAAGAGCTCCATATAATCATTTAATTAAAAAACTAAAAATCTGCAACATTCCATTATCACAAATTAAGTGAAGAATACGACATTTGATGAATTCTTTCGACATATTCGTTATTAAAGGTTTCACTAATAAAACACATTTTTGCTAAATCAAAGTCCTAAAATTCTCGGTTGCAGATGCACGTCCTTTTAAAAAAAAAAATTTTGTGTCATTTCCATGTTTTCATGTTAAAGTTTGTAAAATCAGTCCAAAATTGATTGATTGCATAATATAAAATTATATTTATCTAAATCCTAGGCAAGTCCAGTTTGGAAAGATTATATAGAGGAAGAGCTGTGGAATAATGTGAAAATAAGTAAAAGGTGTATTTATAAATTTTATCTTTTATACTGTCTTATTATACACTAGCTGAAGGGCCGTGAAAAACATTTTTTTTAAATATTTTGAAAAACAAATTTTGATCTTTTTTACCCTATAACACCCCCGGCCACCCATGAGTGTCCACAAAAAATGTCAACCCAATCGGTCCAGCCGGTTAGCCGGCTATAGGCAACATATATATAAATATATACGAATGTCTTGTTTTATTATATAGATATTGTTCAACGCAACATGACAGTTCCGAGACGACTTAAACGTCGTCTTTGATTTTTATATAATTTTCTGCATTTTTTGGTCAACCTAATTTTAGAAGTAAAATGAAGAATTTCGTTCAGATTTCGACAATTTTAGTTTTATTTAACAAAATTGAAATATGAACAAAATACTTACTATCTAAGGTAATATTGACAACACAAAAAAGGCAGACCACATTTTGGAAATGCAGGACTTTCAGAATTTTCTGGTTATTGTTTCAATACAGGTTCAAGTAGGTTGAAGACTGAATGTCAAAAATAAATTCCAAGATCAAAGACTAGAGTTAAGTCGTCTTGCTACTGTCATGTTTCGTGGGACACCCTGTATATCGCAATTTAACATTTTAAAGTTAATCTTAGTATTTACCAACCCACACAGGATAAGACTTCACAGACGACAAAAGAATTTAAACTATCGGTTTCCTTTTAATATTCAATGGTTAACTGTCAACATTAAACATATGTTTCTTTTGTTTGCCAAATAATAAAATAAACTATCAATAGTCTTGATTCGAGGAATGAAACTTAATTCAACCTTGAAATCGTCATATTTAAGAGTTTCAGGTCCTCTATACAGTCTCATCCTTTGTGGGTATAAAATTTTACCTGAAACTATGAAACAAGCTTCGGAATATGTTTTTAGTAAGACGACATTTATTTCCTTCTTTTATAGATTAACACAATACTGGGGCTCCTATATGCCTAAATGCTTTATTGTGACTCATTCCACCACTATAGAATCTATGAAAGTTACTCCAGGGTGAGTTTTATGCTTTTTTCGAAAGATATTAATATATATTTGTTTCGCAGTTTCAAATACTACTTGTACTTCTCTCAGATACAGGGTGCCCCAATAAACATGGGAATTCAGTGACGAATTCGTTATCGTCTTTTTATATAATTCTTTGATTTAGTATAGTGATACCTACTGAGAAAGCTGTAATCTGTAAGGGTTTCGTCTGCTTTGTTCACATTTTGTTTGTTTATGTTTTGACTGCATACTTAGTAAAACAAGAAAATCGCAGTATACAAACAGGGTAAACTTGTCCGTCTTCACTGTTCATCTTGCGGAGACATTATAGACACATCTTTACAGTCTTTTAGCCTTTTCATAAGATAAATCCTAGCAGACATAATAATATTATGGCTTTTGAAATTAGGTATTACAGTGCTAATTCATATCAAAGACGATATCCAATTCGTCACTGAATTCCCATGTTTTTGGGGACACCCTGTATCTCATGCATTGATTGTCAGTAAGACTTAACATTATTTTTGTGTTTGTAATTATACAGTTTAACCCTGAACTTCGGAGGCATCGTTAGAATTTATAAAATGTCGTTTTTTAAACCTATCGATCACTCCTGTATGCCGAGTCCATTAGCGCCTGATCCAATCTGGGTTCAGTCATGTATTTGTTGTCTATTCTGAATTGAACCAATAGAAATAGTATGGCGGTAACAGCTATCTTTCTATCTATCTCATTATCCAATCAGAGTTATGAATCCTTCAATTGGCGGTATCAGTGAATGGAAATATTTACTTCTACTGAAACCTTAGTGCGATAATGGAATGTTGCAGATATTTAGTTTTTTAACTAAATAATTACATGGAGCTCTTTAAAACTGTTCCTGCATTTGTCATGGCTATTTATTTATTTTTACAATGACAGTTATAAAGGTATAACAGTGTAATACCCATTGAACAATTATCAAGACATTTTATAAATTCAATTTCTCCAAAGTTTTGGTTGAATTATATCTAATTTCTAAATATGCATAATTTGGCTTGAATATATATATATATGTCAGTATCAGACTGCATATTTTTCAATTTTTACCTTAACAAACAACGTTTATTTTGGAACATTTATTTACGGACATTTATTTTCATTTTTTTTTAGGAAAAATTTTTACAGGGTGTCTCATTAAATAAAGACAATTGGTGAATAGTTTGAAATTTCATCTTCCATAATTTGTTAAGTTGTTTGATACCAAAGACAATAATGAAAAATTATTTTATGTCAATAATATTATAGTAAAATTGATTTCAAAGTATAGCATATTTTCATAGAAGATTTTTTAACGAAATGAACGGCAAAAACTCTTAAATATCTAATACAGAATATTTCGAAGAAGACATTAAAAACTATTCAAAAATTGTCATGTTTCGTGGGACACCCTGTATCTGGGAATCTGTTTTCAACATTTAAAAAGCTAAAATGTGTTAAGATACGAAACATACACAATATTAGATACTAAAGACTTTTTGCAGTTTTTTCCGTTAAATTATCTTTTATTTAAATATATTTTACTTTGAAATAAAATTTTACGATATCATGACTGCTAATATATTTGAATTGGTATTAAACAAAATAAAAATTAAGGAAAAGATATATTAAACTATTCACCAACCAAGGACTGGCTGGTGTATGGGTTAAAAAGAATAAATCTGATTTTTAGATTTTACCTTATTCTTCACTGTTTGCAGTCTTATTCTCTGCGGAGAAGAGAAAACTGGGAATGTCGTGGTCTACAACAGATCTGCATTCTATCCTCTGGTCCCCATCGGAAGGAAAATCATACCACAAAGATGTGTAAGTAAAACATTTGTTTTTATTTCGTCTTACCTGACGAAGGAGGGGGTGGAGATCAGCCATGAGCCCCACGAACTGACCTCTGGAGCCTGCTGGACGTGGAAACTGTATTGCGAAGGCTCGTAGACGTAGCTTGAGGCACGGAGATAATTTTGATTAGCTAGGAGGTCATTCTGCAAATCAGGAGGCTCCGGACGGAGGTCAATTTGCAGGACTCATGATTGCTGCAAACCAATTATGTTGACTTCATTATGAGCAAATAATTCTCTACAAATAAACCGTAAATAAGCAATACATCGAAAGAAATCGCCAAATGTCGTATTCTTCACTTTCTGATAGTGGAATGTTGCAGATATCTAGTTTTTTAATTAAAGATTATATGGATGGAGCTCTTTAAAACTGCTCCCGCATATTCATGGCTATTTATTTCTTTACGCAAATTCTGAGATTTACGTAAAATAGAATAAAACCCAATGAAAAATTGTAAAGACGACATTTGATATATTCTTTCGATGTATGGCTCATTTAGGATTCAACTGTATAAAGAGTTTTTAATTATTTTCTCATATGGAGACAATGTAATTTAGTTAATCAATATATTTTACAGGATTAATTAAACATTAAGATTGTTATATTATATAGTTCAGGTCATCATTGATCATCCTTGTATTAGGTTGTATTCTAAACAAGCGTTGAAGTGAAGATAAAAAGTCCTCCCATATATTCCGCTTTCGTTACATCTCATTTAAAGGGACTGTTGGTGTAATTTCAAGCCATCCTCATGTATGCAAAGACGGCAATGCCAGATTCACAACGTTACCATAGAAAGCTTTGTCTGATCAATTATGAATTAGATAACCATGCTTTGTTTCTTTATATTGTCTATTTTCATTTGCCGTTTTTCTGCAAAAATAACCTGCGTATTTATTGCTTATAAGAAGCAATTGAAAATTAACGGAAATATAAACACTTGTCGAACACTTGCCATCTTTGCATGGTGGGTCACTTAAAATTACGCTTACAGTCCCTTTAAGAAATACATTTTTTAGATAGAATCCGGTGAAGCAGGAAGTACTGTCTCAAGTCTTGATTGTAATGAACAGTTCCTGGTCACAGGGTCAACTGACGGAGCGGTGAGACTCTTCCTTCTTCATACAGGTACAGGTACAGCCTACAGGTACAGACAGGTACAGCCTACAGGTACAGCCTACAGGTACAGCCTACAGGTACAGCCTACAGGTACAGCCTACAGGTACACCCTACAGGTACAGCCTACAGGTACAGCCTACAGGTACAGCCTACAGGTACAGCCTACAGGTACAGCCTACATGTACAGCCTACAGGCACAGCCTACAGGTACAGCCTACAGGTACAGCCTACAGGTACACCCTACAGGTACAGCCTACAGGTACAGCCTACAGGTATAGCCTACAGGTACAGCCTACAGGTACAGCCTACTAGGCACAGTCTACAGGTACAGCCAACATGTACAGGTACAGAATCCTGAGATCAGAAATTGTGATTATTGAAAACATATCTTCAACAATGCTTGATCTCGAAATCCAATGTGGGCACATAAATCAATGCATAATCCCTCAACTGAAGTTATCACTGCAGAGTAAGACCATCACGGAATATTAAAGAAGAATTAACCCAAAATTCGGACTTCTAGACTCTTACCTTTACCAAGAAAACTAGAAAGACGACATTTACATACATTGTATACTGTGTAGTGTTATCAAGCAAATAATTTACAAAAATTAACCTATGATGTTCAATTGATAATATGGAGTCAAATTATTATAGTCTTCCTATTCCACTGTATTTCGGTGCACACTGTATTTTGTAGGTAAGTTGTTAACCATCCTCTGTCAGTCCTCCACCACGGTGTACTCGGTCAAGCTCAACAACTATCAGGTAGAGAATATCGTCTTTGGATCTCTCTGGGGTTTTAAAACCTTTTGTTTCTAAGACTGTTAAATATCGTGACCACAAAAAACTTTCTTTTTGCGATTTGTTGGTTTTCTTACAAGAGAGTACCCAACCATCTAATTTTCAAAATTGTAAAAAATTGAGTTTTTTCCACAAAATCAAATTTTCTATATCATAAATCTTTGCAACTTGATGGTGTAAACTTTTGATATGAATACCTTAGATGGTTTGATTTGATCTTAAAGAATTTATAGTTTGAAATATCTAAGGTTCATGATATTGGGTTTTAAAGATAAAGAGATTAGAAAATCAGAGTTTGTGGCAAAAACTCAACTCCTTTGTTCTTCCTGTCAAGGTTTATGCCAGTGCAGGAAACAAGCTTTCTGTCCATAAAATTAGTTCAGATGGAGGGGGAGGAGCTGAACTAACCCACCTACTTTCTGAACACACCAGGTTCAATTTTACTTCAATTTTAGGTAGTTTTCACTCACACTTGTTGATAGTTTTTACTTTTACTTTCATGGTTAACTAATTAGCCTATTAGCTATTCATTGGTATTAGTCTTACTTTTTAAAGATATCTATGACCGGAGAAAATGCCGATTTATTGTTTAGATATCCAGCGGGAAGTTATGATACCTTTGCATAGAAACTTTTTAAACGTTTTTTCAGTAACAATAGCCCAATAAAGTCTAAAATTATCATATTTTAATGACAACATGTGTCCGCCATTTATTATAAAATATACAAACTTTAAATTTATAATTAGCAAATAATTAACGATTTTCGTGTTCAAACATGATTTAACAAATTAACACATTTATACAAAGACGACTTTCTCTCTCAGACAAACCGGTTCCAAGATCCAAACTCTTCAATAAATTATGGGGATTTCTGGGGAAGTATAGAGAAAACGTATAAAACCATCAAATGTTTAAATTAAGTTATATTTGAAAATAGACAATTTTAAAAGTGTTTTTAAAAAAATTAAGATATCTACAATTAACTTATAGATAATACAATTTAATTTAATATTTGAAATTTTTTTTAATCCATGCTATGGCAAAAAGCATCCAATATAGTATCTATGCAAAGGTATCATACCTTTATATATTATATATTATTATATATTATATATTATATATCATACCTTTGCGCTGGAATTCTGAATGACAAATCGGCTTTTTCTCAGGCCACAGTTGTCTTTGAAAAGTAAGACTAATACCAATGACTAGCTAATAAGGCTTTTAAGTTTACCCTTAAATTACCCAAATAAGTGAATGGTCCCTTTAAACTTTAAACATTTTGTAAGTGTATGCCTTTTCTTTCTAAACAAGATGAAAAGAATTTTACTTATAATTTTACTCAATCTAAAAAAGCTTGTTAAACCCGTTTAAAAAAAACTCCAGTCCACAGTTTCTTACTTTCTGAACTTACGGTTAAAAACTTACGTTTATTTTGTTATTTATGAACGAACCAGATTACAAGTTTTCAGATTTATACTTTTATTTTCTGGTTATGAACACTTTTACTTTTCTTTCCTAAAATTGAACTTTTAGTATTCTCTTGGTTTATAATCTATTGTAAATTGAAAAAAGTTACTATTTTTCACGATTACCGGCCATACAAATAGGTAAATGGTAGATTTGAAAAAGAAAAACATTGAGATCAGAGATGAGATTTTAAAAGCTTAAACGCCACTTAAACCCAAACTCGGGCTTAGATAGAACCCAAGTCAGGATTGGTTCTGATTCGACCAATGAAAGACTGTTTTGCAAGATTTCTCTCTGTAGCAGACAGAATGCCGTCAGATCAGCTGTGACAAGGAGATGTAAATTTCGAAAATTCAAACTTTATGTTGATAAATTATTTTCATAGTATGCATACATTTAATAAAATTTGACACCACAAATAATTCCCGAGATTTTAAATGTACAAATATAAAAGATTTTACGAAATTTACAATCATCAGCTATTAAAGACTCGAGCCTTAAAGAGAGAAAAACCCAAGATGGTTGGTTCTTACTAAACTCAAAGCCATCTAAAACCCAGGCCTTGACTTGAACTTTACTTGGGTCTAAGCAGACGCAAAGACCGGGGTTTAGTCGGGTTTAAGCTTTTAAAATCTCATCTCAGATTAAAATTTGTTCTACTATTTCTAGAGAAGTTTTGTGTCTTGACTATGGATGTGGGAAGCTTGCAAGTGGAGGAACAGATAAAACCATCAAAATATATTCGTTGGGGCCCCCGGTACACAATCAATTAATCAAAAAAGATACTTTTATTTTTAGTTTTTGGTTTCCATGCTTTAGCCAGTAAATAATAGATGAAAAAATATAAATTTAAAAGATTAATGATCTTTAAACAGAACGCAAAGTTCATAATTGCATTATAATTTATACCGCTCTCTCTGACATCCAAAACTTTTAAAATAAAAATATATTTTCTCGATAAAAGAATTGATCTTTGTCACAAACTCAGATGCTAAAATTCTTTTTTTCTTTGCACCTCAATGTCATGGACCGTGGATATTTCTAACTATGAATTCTGTTACATCAAAGTTTGAAATATCAAAGGTTTTTACAATAAGATTGCAAAGATATAGGAGTTAAAAATTGGAATTTATGGCAAATACTCTTTTTTAGGGAGTGTATAAAGTTCTTCACACTCTTGTTGGACACAAACTGAAGGTAATAAAATAAAATGTAAAAAAGTAACTATTTACTGATCAGAACTGTTGTGCAGAGTATTGTTAATCTTGAACACTTGATCTCTATATACAGTGTGTGCCCATTTTAGGATCAATGCTTGATCCCTAAATTAAAGATATCCCAGCAGGATATGATCACAACAGGATATCGAAGATTGATTGAATTAATCTGTCTTCATAATTTTAGGAGGAAACAAATGAAAACTCAAAATATGTCATTTATCCTAGAATATTTCATATTTTGTGACGAACTTTGTTTTTAACTAAAATATAAATATTTGGAATTGTTTATTACAGGGGAAGAAAGTTCCAAACCGTGATTTGGCCCAGACCTAACACTGAGTGTCAGTTTTGGGCCAAATGTGCAAAGTTACCTATTTTATCTGTTTATATTTTTTAATTTAAATCGAAAAGTAAAAAATCGTCCACATACTTTGAATTAAGGCTAAATTTTTAAATAAAAATTTGAACACTAAACCCCTACAAGTAAATAAATTTCAATATTTGTGCCCAAATCTGACAATGAGTGTCAGGTTTGGAACATTTGCACGGTTTGGAACCTTCCTCCCCTGTATTATCCAGGTCCGGTGTGTAGCTGTACATAAAGACCTAGTTGTATCTGGTTCCTGGGATAGAACTGCCAGGATCTGGGATTCGAAGACAGGGGAGTGTATTCGGATACTGGAACATGAGAAGCATATAAGGTAGGACGGTTTGTATTCGGATACTGGAACATGAGAAGCATATCAGGTAGGATGGTTTGTATTCGGATACTGGAACATGTGAAGCATATCAGGTAGGACGGTTTGTATTCGGATACTGGAACATGAGAAGCATATCAGGTATTCGGTTTGTATTCGGATACTGGAACATGAGAAGCATATCAGGTATTCGGTTTGTATTCGGATACTGGAACATTAGAAGCATATCAGGTAGGACAGTTTGTATTCGGATACTGGAACATGAGAAGCATATCAGGTAGGATGGTTTGTATTCGGATACTGGAACATGAGAAGCATATCAGGTATTCGGTTTGTATTCGGATACTGGAACATGAGAAGCATATCAGGTAGGACGGTTTGTATTTGGATACTGGAACATGAGAAGCATATCAGGTAGGACGGTTTGTATTTGGATACTGGAACATGAGAAGCATATCAAGTAGGTATGGATAGCTAGAGTATACTGAAATATATGTTTAGATGTATATCTATGGATAGCTAGAGTATACTGAAATATATGTTTAGATGTATATCTATGGATAGCTAGAGTATACTGAAATATATGTTTAGATGTATATCTATGGATAGCTAGAGTATACTGAAATAAATGTTTAGATGTATAGCTATTGACAGCTGGAGGATACTGACTGGAGATACTGAAGGGTATGTATATGCCTGGAGCCTGGAAAACTGCCTGGACACAAGCATAGGGCCTGACAAGCTTTGCCTAAGGTAAACAACTGAAAAAAAGGTTTTTAAGGGTTCTCAATTGGAGAAAATTAATGAAGCGTTTAAGTTCTTATCTTGTCCATTGTTCTGCTCGTCTATGCTTTAAAAATTCATTAGACGGTTGAAGAGAAGTGCAGTTGAACTTTAACATTTAATTTGTTTGTATTAATATTCTATTATCAGAGCACACAACGCTATGGATCCAAGTGTTTGGATGAAAGATAGTCAGAAGAGTGTGTACGCTGTACATTTAGAAGCTGCAGTACAGATACAGGTAAACTAAACAAAGAAGCTGCAGTACAGATGCAGGTATAGTGCAAATAGAATCTGCTGTACAGATACAGGTACAGTATAAATTTTAGATATAATTCCTATACAACATTACCAACAAAGATTGAAACTGTGATTGATCTGAATTGATCTGAAACTCTTTAAATGTCGCTTTATAACAAATTTTATCAGGTTTTTTAATTAATTTCAAATTTTGTGAATGATTTTAAATCGAAGGGCAAGATAACAAAAAAGTGTATTTTTGTAAAGAACCATGAAAAAAGGAAACAAAGATGAAATAGATTGTGTACAGTGATTCGTCTCTCAAATCTCATTTTTGCGGGTAACCCTTTAACATATTTTTTAGGTGGCTGGAGCAACGGGTAGGATTGTCGTTTCTGATTTCTGGGATTACGACTGCAAAGATTTCTTCCAATTGGAGTCCTACTTTCATAATGAGAAATCTTCATCATGATTTCTTTAAACTGGAGTCATATTTATATAAAGAGAAATCATCATCATGATTTCCTTTAGCTGGAGTCCTACATGATTTCCTTAAACTGGAGTCATACTTATATAATGAGAAATCATCATCATGATTTACTTTAGCTGGAGTCCTATATGATTTCCTTAAACTGGAGTTATAATTTCATATTGAGAATTATCATCATGATTTCCTTCAGAAGGAGTCCTACTTTCAAAATGAAAGCATAATCATGATTTCCTTTAGCTAAAGTCCTACTTTAATGATGAGAAACATCACCATGATTTTCTTCAGCTGGTGTCCTAACTTCATTATGAGCATTATCCTCAAGATTTCTGTCAGCTGGAATATTAAAATTTATATCGTAGAATAAAGATAATATTAATAATATTTACCTAATTACCTAAATAGTTATAATTAAATAATGTCTTAATGATTTTAGAATAGATAGTCCAATGAACATAAAATACACAGCAATTGTGCAGTATAAACAGACCCATTTCACTTAATAAGTGTTTAAATAACTATTTAAACGCATTTGCTTTTTAACAACAACAAATGCACTTAAGAAGTGCTTTAATGTCGTTTTCTTATTCTACAGTTTCTGGTTATCACTAACATTTTTTTTTTGCGTTCATACACGTTTTTTGAAAAAAATTTTAAAAACCCCCCCCCCCCCCCTCCTCTTTCATGATTGCCCTCTGTGTGAATTAGTCCTTGTTATACGATAATGGTTAAATTTTATGGCATTGTTAAATTCACTTTTCTTTTATTTTCACTGGTTTTCTATTTAAGCCACATTTAAAAATATAGTTTTCATGGAAGGGATATTTTAGAGAAACGTTTTTAAATTTTTTTTTCCGTTAAGTAAACTTATTTTTTAGACAAACTGATCTGTATTAAAGATAAGAAACCCAGTTCAACTCTTATTCAAATATTTCAAGTTTTGGAACAATAATGCATTGTTTTTAGGGAAAATTCATAATTTCCATCAATCGTCAAATTGAGTTAACAAATCAACCTGTAGATATAAAATACTCAAATCTTGCTAAAATCATAATCTTCAATGAAAATGAAATATAAAGCAACTTAACAGAGCAAATTTGTACATTTTACTTGATTAGTAAATTTTCAATCTACTCATTGAACTGTTTACTTTATAACAACATCAAAAATACATTAAAAAGTTATTCAATGTCGTCTTCTATTTGACAGAATTATGGACCCCCCTCAGGGATCGGCAACTTTAATTGTGAAACAACTTTTAGAAACTAGAACTATTAGAGATAGTTTTTAAAAATTCAAACGGTCTTTTTCAAACGTGACTCGTGTGAATAACAAACCATTTGTTTTCAAACGTTTTCAAAGTGATAACCATCATTTACAAAATGCAGAGAAAATTCTAATTTTTAAGGAAAAAAAAACAACTTTTTAAAAAGTTTATATGGATCAAAGTTTGAACACTTGCTATCATATATCACTATAGAATTATTATTTATTTTATTCCCTTTTATTTTCTTTAATCGTTTTCAAAATATGCTGTTCCTAATTTGACTGTACAATCTTGAGAGATAATAATTGCGTATCTCTATATATTGAAATGATATAATTGTATATCTCTAAATATTTAAATGATATAATTGCGTATCTCTATCTCTATATATTGAAATGATGTAATTGTATATCTCTATATATTCAAATGATATAATTGCGTATCTCATATATTGAAATGATATAATTGCGTATCTCTATATATTGAAATGATATAATGGTATATCTTTATATATTCAAATGATTTAATTGCGTATCTCTATATATTGAAATGATATAATTGTGTATATATATATATATTGAAATGATATAATTGCTTATATCTATATATTGAAATGATATAAATGCGTATATCTATATATTGAAATGATATAATTGCGTATATCTATATATCGAAATGATATAATTCGTATATCAATATATTGAATTGATATAAATGCGTATATCTATATATTGACATGATATAATTGCGTATATCTATATATTGAAATGATATAATGCGTATATCAATATATTGAAATGATATAAATGCGTATATCTATTTATATTGAAATGATATAATTGCGTATATCTATATATTGAAATGTTATAATGCGTATATCAATATATTGAAATGATATAATGGTATATCTTTATATATTCAAATGATTTAATTGCGTATCTCTATAGAATGAAACGATATAATTGCGTATATCTATATATTGAAATGATATAAATGCGTATATCTATATATTGAAATGATATAATTGCTTATATCTATATATTGAAATTATATAAATGCGTATATATATATTTATATATTGAAATAATATAAATGCGTATATCTATATATATTGAAATGATATAATTGCGTATATCTATATATTGAAATGTATAATTGCGTATATCTATATAAATTGAAATGATATAATTGCATATATCTATATATTGAAATGATATAATTTCGTATATCTATATATTGAAATGATATAATTGCGTATATCTATACATTGAAATGATATAATTGCGTATGTCTATATATTGAAATGATATAATTGCGTATATCTATATATTGAAATGATATCCGCCAATGTTGACAACTTGGAACAGATTTCTAATCTTATATTCGGAGTGTGACGACCAACAGATGGTGTAATTTGAGCTTTATTTCTCCCTTACAATTTTTCACATTTTTATTTTTAAGTTTGAATTGGCGAATTTAAACATTCAGATTTGCGCATTTACCAAACTGCCACCTTATGAAGTAACATTACCTCCCTAATATCAATATACTAGACTTTTACGACGCTTCGCTCACATTTTTTAGTAAAAATTTTACCATTTAAATATTGCTTTTTAAGTAGACATTTTTCCTCATAAGTAAAACGTTCGCGGATCTTTATCTTCAAATTTGTGGATTTAAAAAAAAATTTCCAAACACAATACCAGCCATTAATGGGTGTCAGAGCTGCCACAAACAAATGTAGACCCAATCAACTACCTTATGCTTTTTTTACAAGGAATTTTTTTTAGTTTTTTTGTTTGAATTTTTACTTATCATTGTTTGTTTGAGGTTTAAACTTAAGTTTTTAATCCAAAACACGGTGTTGAACTATAACAATTATAACATTGCTTAAACACAGTAGATTATTAAAAATCATAAATTTATTATTGTCAAAAATAGTTACATACAATGATCATTAAATTTTAGAAACCTTATATAATGAGTTTTCAAGTGATAATTTAATGATTAAACTATTATAATCTTAATGATAATGATGAATTGATAGTGTCAGAAAATAAAAATATACATTTTCTTATGTTTTCATCGCTTTTTAACAGTTTTATAAACTTAAAGGGACCGTGCGCGTGATTTTATCAAATTTCAAGATTTAAAACCAATCAGAGACATAAACCATCCCTCTTAATATATACAGGAAAATTTGTTCATTTCTCAGTAAAAAAGTTTATTTTTTTCGGTTTTTTTAGGTTAAAGCTTTTTAGTTATGGATTTTGGCATTGGGACCATGAATAAAATTTTTTTATCTAAACATTAAAACAAACTTAAGCATTGTTAAACCCCAAAATAGTTATCTTTTCTGAAATCACACTTTGTGTGCTGTAAAATCAAGATAAATTTTTATGGTCCTAAGGTTTTAAATCATATTTTAAATCATTTTTTTTCTGACCTATCCCATGAAACCTTTCCTGACGAGATCATGTGATTGTGAGGTCAAAGCAACACAAACTGCCGTTTTGACGTAGGTTGAATTGAAAAAAGCCAATCCCCTTATAGACAAGTTGAATATAAATATATAAGACTTTAGATGACAAATGTAAAATTGTTAGTTTTTCTTTTTCATCTTTTTGTGACCATTAGTGGAGCAGAACAACAGTCAACAGGTATAAATATTCATTATAACATAAAAGTGTCACTAAGTCTAAAAAATGATTTTAAAATAATAATTTTTGAGGGACTTTGAGAAAATATTTATCGTGCACCGTAATATCGGATGCTTTATTAAGAAAATCGGCTCAAAGTTGATCGTAATCTCCCATTTAAACGATATTCCTTAAACCTTTCATTTTACATTACATTTTACCTCTAAAATGTTGTTTAAATGGCCGAAAACTGGAGTGTACGCTAGCGTACAATGTTAAATCAACTCAGCAATTATTCTTCGACTTCCAAAAAGTAATTATTTAATTTTAAAATGCCATAAATTTGTCCCAACAGTTCTTTATTTTGATTTGAACTAATCTTCGTTTGGAGGATTTCTCTTCTTTGATCCAGCATTCCACGATTTGCTTTTATCAATTACAAAAGGCAGAAGCAAAGATAATCGTTCATTGAAGAATAACATGTAGTTTAAAGGCTATAAACAACTTTATTCATGGCGAAAGATCTAACTTGACCTTGGAATCGTCATATTTAAAGTGTCTCAGGTCGTCTTCACAGTATCATCCTTTGACATAACCCTGTATTAATAGGTCGAAAAGGTCAAGGTTGCAATAGACTTTTCCTTTTCAATAGTCGGTTATTATTCAATAATTATTCCCTTCTTTCTATTCCTCTTTATTCTGGAGACCACTGTACCATATTATGCCAGGATCTTCTTTATATTCCTCTTTATTCTGGAGACCACTGTACCATATTATGCCAGGGTCTTCTTTATATTCCTCTTTATTCTGGAGACCACTGTACCATATTATGCCAGGGTCTTCTTACTATTCCTCTTTATTCTGGAGACTACTGTACCATATTATGCCAGGGTCTTCTTTATATTCCTCTTTATTCTGGTGACCACTGTATCATATTATGCCAGGGTCTTCTTTATATTCCTCTTTATTCTGGAGACCACTGTACCATATTAGGCCAGGGTCTTCTTTATATTCCTCTTTATTCTGGAGACTACTGTACCATATTATGCCAGGGTCTTCTTTATATTCCTCTTTATTCTGGAGACCACTGTACCATATTATGCCAGGGTCTTCTTTATATTCCTCTTTATTTTGGAGAGCACTGTATCATATTATGTTTAGGTTTATATTATGAATATCAAGACTATCCACAAGATCAATTCAACAACGTTTTAGTAGATAATCAATCAGGTATTTTAAAGTTACTTAACGTCCCTTCGGACGATTAGGTAAAATAACGACCCCTGCTACGATTGTGTACGAAGTTTTCGTACAAGCATTTTTATCTCAAAAGAAGACATATTGTGTACTTTTACGAAAATTCCAAATTTTACTCAACCACGGGTTTTTGCCTACAAAACTACTTTTTGAATATATAAATAATGAGTCTGAACCGTCTGACGAGGTTCAAACTTTGTGAGGACTTGTGGCAGAAAATAATTTACCGGCGTGTGTTCAAAAACCAAAGATCAAAATAAATGCAAAAAGGCTAAAAAAGTTTCTTAACAAATTTGCTGAAGAGACTGTACCCTACATGCAAAGTTGGCAATACCCGATTCACAACGGTACCCTTAAACCCTTTGTCTGATCAAGTATGAGTTAGATATCATTGTTTATAATTTTAAAACTGATTATTTTTAAGTGTCTGTTTTCGACAAAAAGGACTTGCGTATTTCTACTGCAGGAAAATATATATGAATTATTAGAATTAACCATTTTTAACCCAAAAAACTGGCAATATCTTCCACATTTGTTATCTAGAAAACTGGCAATGTCTTCCACATTTTTAATCCAGAAAACTGGCAATATCTTCCACATTTTAATTCCAGAAAACTGGCAATATCATACACATTTTTTAACCCGGAAAACTGGCAACATATTCCACATTTTTAATCCAGAAAACTGGCAATATCTTCCACATTTTTAACCCAGAAAACTGGCAATATCTTCCACATTTTTAATCCAGAAAACTGGCAATATTTTTCACATTTTTAATCCAGAAAACTGGCAATATCTTCAACATTTTTAATCCAGAAAACTAGCAATATCTTCCACATTTTTAACCCAGAAAACTGGCAATTTCTTCCACATTTTTTATCCAGAAAACTGGCAATATCTTTCACATTTTTAATCCAGAAAACTGGCAATATCTTCCACATTTTTAATCCAGAAAACTAGCAATATCTTTCACATTTTTAACCCAGAAAACTGGCAATATATTTCACATTTTTTACCCAGAAAACTGGCAATATCTTCCACATTTTTAAACAGACAAAAGTTTCAAGGGCAACGTGGCGAATCGGGCATTGCTATCTTTGCATTGAGGGTCACTTGAAATAACGCTTAGAGTCCCTTAAATAATGGTCAAATTAAGTATTATAAAGAAAATAATCATGACAACTTTCCCACGAATATTCAGGGCTAAAGACCTTCATAATCCGACATCTGTAAGTTAAACACACAAATTAACAAGCATCTTTTCAACATATTTAGCCCCGGAAATTATGGTTGCTTCGTGTCTCCTATTTTGGTTATGGGGAATGGATAGTAAGGTTATTATTTGCGGAGGATGAAGTAACAAAATTGCTAATGAGAGGGAGGGAAGGATTTTTTCCCGCTTTTTACAGCTGACAAGCGAAGAAAATCCTTTCCTCCCTCTCGCCAGCAATGTTGTCACTTCAGCCTCCGCCAAAAATCAGTTTTATCATGAAGACGACATTTCTTATTAAGCACATCTAGAGTTTCTAACATATCTATACAACTTTTTCATACTTTTTGTTTGACTAACATTTTAAAAAGTTAAATAAATTGAAATTGTTTGAATTTTCTAAGCCCGGTTTTGCTATCTTTAAATGTTAAAAAAGTTTCCGTCTTCCGTTATAAATTGTGAATACTGTCCTTGAGCTACAGAGGCTTGTGGGAAACTGATTATTACAAACTACACGGAATAATCAAATTATAATCCAAGAAAATTATCGTTTTTATTCTCAATTCTGAGTCTTTTTCCAAAATTTGATTTTCTAATTCCTATATCTATGAAATCCAATGTTGCAGACCTTAGATATTTCAAACTATGACTCATAGATCAAAAAATTTAAGTTTGAAAAATCAAAAGTTTACATAATTAAGTATTAAAGATATTGGGATTAGAAAATTTGAGTTTGTAGCAAAGACTCAATTCCTTTACAGAAAATATAGAGATATTTGTGTTATCCTCTGAATCTGAATATAAATAAAGAAAATATAGAGATATTTGTGTTATCCTCTGAATCTGAATATAAATAAAGAAAATATAGAGATATTTGTGTTATCCTCTGAATCTGAATATAAATAAAGTTATAAAAATTATATTTTAGTCTTAACCAGCTCGGATGTAACTTTTTTAAGTTGAATCGGGTGTGAATTTTACTTTTAAAATTTCATTTTGGACATTATCAGCATAGAGCACTAAATACGGTTACTCAGCTATTTGTTTTTGCTTCAAAATAAAATCTGAAACAAAACCCGTGCACCACATATGGAAACGAACCACTTTTTATGTCGAAGATCTTCAGACAATCGGAATTTTAATAAAGGTTTAATTGGTAGTGCAGTGATCTTTTAAAGTATTGTTTGATTAAAATAATAATAGCAGCCCATACATACCACGCACCTCTGACCCTTTAGTAAAAGTAAATTCAACCAAAAGTCTGACCGCGTCAACCTTGTTGCACCGGCTAGTCCTATTGAGTGGCTGCATTATTTACCCAATGTCCGGGCGATACAGCACAAAATGGGACCGGAAAGGTTGACCCGGCTAGGAAATTCAAACTGTTTCTATACAATTTACTCTTAATTACTGCTAAAATGTTGCCTTCCTATTCCATAGTGTTCTGGTTATCACTGTAGCGTAGGGATACTTTCCTTTAATGATTAATAAATGCGTAAATCAGATTAATCACATTTGATTGATGCGTAAACTAGATAAATTATGATCAATTATCCTATATCTAGGGTTGAATGAAAGGAATGGCTCTGATCTCCAGGAGTACCAGGATACACAGGATATCCAGGGGTACCAGGATACCCCAGAAAATGAAAGTTTGGAGAAAACTGAAGAGGAAACTATCTCACCGCAATACATACCAGATTCTCTTCAAACTGCGGTTAGCATAAATTCAAGATTCCATAGATTAATAACAATACAGATAGAACACTAAATGTCGTAATTTCAAGATTTGAGGGATTTTCGTTCACAAGAACCCTGAGGTAAAAGACCAAAGGAGTTACGCGCATGCTCTCTCTCTGTCTTGTCATTTAATGCGGAATGCGCGTAACTCCTTTGGGCTTCTGCCTCAGGGTTATTGTGACGAAAAGCCCTTAAATCTTGAAAAGACGACATCTAGTGTTCTATCTGTATTGTTATTGATCTAAACCGGAACTAATTAATATTTACAACTGAGCACTTATTTATAATTAAGAGAAGGAATTATTAAAGGGTATGTTGTTGCAATTCCAAATGAGCTTGATCAATAATGTGGAAGATACAGGGTGTCCCAAAAAACATGTTAATAATAATAATAATAATAATAATAATAATAATAATAATAATAATAATAATAATAATAATAATAATAATAATAATAATAATAATAATAATGATAATAATAATAATAATAATGATAATAATAATAATAATAATAATAATAATAATAATAATAATGATAATAATAATCATAATAAAAATACTGCAATAATTAAAAAATGCTGCATGGATCGAAGACGATATTAAAGTCGTTAGTGAATTACCATGTTTATTTGGAAACTATTAAACATCATAACGTGAGTCTAACATTCGCCTGCGTGTTTCAAAGGGTGGTTCAAAATATATTTAAATATAAATGATGAATGTGTTTGGTTACTTTATGACCCTCACATACATAATTATAAACACAAACCATATGTTTACAACTAACATCTTGGTTTTCAACATAACTTCTCCTCCATCTTCATTTTTCAAAAATATACATTAATCACGGCAGCCATTTTCTGTCATACTTTCATAAAACATTCATAAAACATTTTAACTTTGGTTAGACGATGGATGTGATTGCAAAAATGTTTACTATGGCTAAATGTGATATCATTAGAATGCTTGTTTGGTTGAGCTTGATATCATAAGAATGTTGTTTGCGCATAATCTCAAAAATGTTTACTCTGGCTTAGGGTGATCACACAAATGTTTACTCTGGTTGATGGTGATCACAAGATTGTTTACTTTAATTGAGCGTGAACACAAAAATGTTTACTTGGGTTGGACGTAAACACAAGAAAGAATGTTTACTTTGGTTGGATGTAAACACAAAAAATGTTTACTTTGGTTGAGCGTAATCACAAAAATGTTTACTCTTGTTGATGGGGATCACAAGAATGTTTACTCTGGTTGAGGGTGATCACAAAATGTTTACTCTGGTTGAGGGTGATCACAAAAATGTTTACTCTGGCTTAGGGTGATCACATAAATGTTTACTCTGGTTGATGGTGATCACAAGATTGTTTACTTTGGATGGATGTAAACACAAAAAATGTTTACTTTGGTTGAGCGTAATCACAAAAATGTTTACTCTGGTTGAGGGTGATCAAAAGAATGTTTACTCTGGTTGAGAGTGATCACAAGAATATTGCTTTGGTTGGACGTGATCACAAGAATGTTTACTTTGGTTGGACGTGAACATAAGAATGTTTACTTTGGTTGGACGTAAATACCAGAATGTTTACTTTGGTTGGACGTGAACACAAGAATATTTACTTTGGTTGGATGTGAACACAAGAATGTTTACTTTGGTTGGACTTGAACACAAGAATGTTTACTTTGGTTGAATGTGAACACAAGAATATGAACTTTGATTGGACGTGAACACAAGAATGTTTACTTTGGTTGAACGTGAACATAAGAATGTTTACTTTGGTTGGACGTGAACACAAGAATATTAACTTTGATTGGACGTGAACACAAGAAAAGCGGACTTGTGGCCTCACCTGTACATGTAATATTATTATTATTATAATTATTATTATTATATTATTATTATCATCATCATCAACATTATTCATTTTAACTAGGCTCTCCTTGAAACCATGCAGAGAAATAAACGATCCAACAGTTCGACCCAGGTATGATGTAGAAAATATAACTTTATTAATTCTGTTAATTTCTTTACTTGTCTTTGCAAACCTATAGTTGAAATTCCAAATTAAAATTTATGCATGAACTTTTAAGACCGGACCGACTTTGAAGTGTCACCACTAAAAACAATACATTTAGCCTTCCTTACACTCAGGTCTTCTCTTGGGTCTACAATTGGTTCTAATTCGATTGGTTTTTACTACTATAATCTCGAGTCTTGGCTTAAATAGACGCAAAGACCAGGTTTTTACTCGGGTTTTAGCTTTTAGAATTGGTGTGCCAAACTGTGAATATAAAGTCGGATTTACGATATCATTTTGTATGAGTATGTCAGTCTGTTTAATATGTATTATTTTTTGTTAATTAGGCCACTCGGTGGATACCGAAATCGCTGCGTGCTGAAAAATGACCATACCCCCCTTACGCTTTCTAGAA